TTCCAATTCATGAATTATTACAATTATTTTCTTTTAGATAATTTTCTTATCTTTAATTTTTAGTCATTATAATTGTAAAATTTATTTGATAGATCAGTAGAATATTTTTTTTTTTTTATAATTTTGATTTTGATTTTATCAAATCTTATAATTTATTCCAATAAATAAAGCAAAAATAGTAAGTTTAGATTATTTTATTGATTATTTTCAAATTAGTTTCATTTACAACAATGCCATCTACCATTTTTTATATATTTTATGAAATGAACAAAAATAAATTTAAAAATAAATGAAAATAATATAATTGAAATGAATATAACTTGATGATATTATTTTTATATTATTTCTCAAATGTAACTTTCTTTTATCAATTAGGATGTTATAGGCATTGACATTGATTGTGAAAGTGTATCGACATATGATTGTTCCAATATAAAATTCTTATTTATCTAAGATTTTTTTGCTTCCAATCTTTTGTAGAAATGATAAATTAAAAACTGTTATCTTAATATCATTTTTTATTAGTTTTTAACATAAAACTCAAATTTTGTTTTTGTTAATTATAAATTTTTTTTTTTCTATTCACAAGCATCCTTAACAATTTCTGTAAAATTATCATAATTTAACCTTTATATTTATTTCTCTATATTGGAATATCTACATTTAAGTACTCTACAACAATAATTATTTTAAATCTTCTAAATGGCTTCAAGAAAATTTATAGCACTTATTCTTATAAGCTTTGTTTTTTTGATGTCTAATTAATTCACACTATACTCGATGTGTTTATAAAGCTTATCTACTACAATTTATTCAATCTTTGAAAAATGATAATCACAAGAGACAATATATGATTTTTTGGGCGGTGTTATTGAAATTACTTTTGCGGGTATTAATCTAACCTCTAGGTAACCTCTCTTTTTCTATTACTACTCTATTTATTAATGATCTTCTTCATCTAAAAAACAAAGTTCACACTTCAAGCCATATTTGGCAATTATTTGCTAGATTTATTTATCTTTAGTTTCTCCAACTTCTCCCACTTCTCCAACTTCTCCAGCTTATATCATTTCTCCTACTTCTACAACATTACTTGACATAGAAGTTAAACTAATTAAAATTAATTATGAATATATAAGAATTATTTTTGTTTAAATAGTCAAAAAATAAAAAATTCTCGAAATATTTTGTTAAATTCCTGTATCATAATAAATATATATTACTAAAAATCTATTTTCTTTATTATATAAAATTATCTATAAAATGTAGATGAAGATAGTGTAATGAACAAAGTTATCGGAAAAATAACGAAGAAAAAGGAATTTATAGTTGGCATCTAAAAAAAATTCTATTAAGATTTTTGGTTGATTGATTTTTATGATTTTTTTTTTATTAGTTGTCAAAAATTGTTTTCTAATTATTTATCTACAATTTATTAATTAAAATCACCATTTTATGCTAAATGATTAATTACAATGAAAATCCTGCAAAAAGGCCTCCCTAATATAGACTTTATAACACTGCATAAAATTTTTTTATCTTCGGTTTAAATAATCATGTTTTTCTTATTCTTTCAATTATAAATTGTTAATTTTAAATGTTTATTTCTGAATTAGCCTTGTGATTGTTGCTCTAAGCTGTCTACATATTCTTATTTAATAAATTGTATTTTATAAGAGAGGAATCTCTTAAATAAGAATAATTTTTTTACCATCTTCTTTCAACTAAATTAAATATTTTTAACAAACAACAACACATTAAAGTGAATTTATATCAATTAAATAACTAATGGTCTTTTTTCAGGAAATTTTATAAATCTAGAAATTATTCTATCTTATTACTCTAAAATGATTATTTTAATCTTATCATTAAGAGTTGCCACAATTGTTTAGGGTTTTTAATATTATTTACTTTTTAATAACTTATCCAATCCCACCCTTAAATACACAAAAGTAATTTAACTACAGTCACAATTTCTAAGAGGCTCATTCCAAAAGCATAAATAAATATCTTCTTTTTTATAATAATGCTCCAAATAAGTTTCTAAGAGTTTCCTTCATAGGATTTGAAAAGATTATTGCAATCTAATAAATTTTGTTTTTTTTACTAGTTATTCTATCACCTAATCTAATTTAATAAACCAGTTAAACTCTGTCTGTTAGATCTTATTCTATTATTTGAAATTTATTTTTTATCTTCACTAAAAGCAGTCTTAATGATCTTAACTATAAATTATAGTTTAGGCATATCTACTTTCTGTTATTTGTATATTTTTGTAGACTACTTGATAAAGAGTTCCTCTTTGTAATATTTTTGAATCCTATAATTAATTCGTGAATATTTTTACAATAATTCATTTTTTAATTAAATTATAAATTATATGGCAAACTTAATTCATTGTTAGGATAAATATGTTTGTTTTGAAGGACTTGTAGAATTCTTATTAAGCTTATTCTATTTATTCTATTTAATAATTTGCTTTAGAATACTTATCAAAGATAAAAGTGGAGTTGTTATTCAAAATGATAAATACTTATGTTTTGCTGCTTTGATCTAAATACTTTTGCAGACAATATATTTTTTGTATTTTTGTAATTAAATTCAACTTATAAGCTGCAAGATAATGATTTTTTATTAACAACCATAAGATGTTTGGGAATAGCAATGTAAATAATGTTTTGCAATATTTTGGGCACTATTGTTGCTGATGAAATATAAACACCAAGAGTATGGCAATTGGCTAAATTATTGCTTGTATGTACATTTATTTTATGGTATTGGTTTGGTATTGCTCATCAAAGTTCAATAGAGTAATCATAATATGATTTTATTAGTTATAATTGCATTTAAGCTGATTATTTAATCCTTTCTAGTATAGGTTTATTTTTGGCTGGTGGATCCTTTTTTTTAGGAAATTTTGCACTGACAAGCATGATAGATTTTAAAAATTCTTTGGTTCTATATTATTCTAATATTTATAGGAGGTTTCAAGATCAGGACATATTTAAATATAATCCAATAATAAAATATATGAATAAGTATTAATGAGAATTTAATAAGTAACATTAATGCATTGTATAATTAAGAATTATTAATAGATTGCGGATTAATTTAATTTGGAGTTTAGTTTACTTTTGATCTATTTACTTATGTAAGTTCTTAAAATTCAAATTAATGTACTAACTATTATAATGCTGCATCTTTTCTTTCAGTTTTATTTATTTAATAAATTCTTAGATTATTTTATTGACTATTTTCAAATTAGTTTCATTTACAACAATGCCAGCTACCATTTTTTATATATTTTATGAAATGAACAAAAATAAAATTTAAGAAAATGAAAATAATATAATTGAAATGAATATAACTTAATGATATTATTTTAATGTTATTTCTCAAATGTTAAACTCATTCATCTTTTTGAATGATATAGATCCATTGATTTTTATTAATTCTTTTTATCAAAATCATCATCATCGTAATTCTATTAATCTTTTTAGTCTTATCTATTCATTCTCTCCTAATTTTTTTTTACAATTAAGCTTCATTAGCTATTCTTTAATCAATTAATGAAAAAATCTAAGAAAATCTGCATTTGATAGATATATTTAATATTATCATTTCTATAATTTATTTGTTAAGTTAACTTGCGACGGATAAGGAGACAACGCAACAGAATAAGGATAGCTATTAAGACTCTAAAAGTTTCCCATAAGATTCTGATGAAGTATTGATCGTTAGTTGTAGATTCCGCTCTATCCTTGGTGATAATCATTTGATTAAAGCATGACAATAGATCGAAAGAACTTAGGATCATACATAAAGGATCCTAAACTATTTGGATTAGATAAATAGTTTTCTTGTTGAAGATTCATTTCATTGCTCTTGTTCAAATAGATTTAAAGTTATTCTGGAGTAGGAAAATATATTTGATTATTTTCTTTTTGTATTAGGCAAGGCATAAGAGTGGCAGCATCATCATCATTTAGATCTGAGTATTTTATTTATAATTATAAGCTCTCCATATTTTTGAAGTTCGAAATCTTTTCTTTATAATTTTTATAGTATCCTACTTAAGATTCTAATTTAATTTTCTTGGTTGCATTTTGATATTTATCTTTAATTTCTTCTTTTTGCTCCTTTTATCTTAGATTCTCATTCTATTATATACGCCATTCAATTTTTTTAATGATCATATTAATTAGCTTAATTTCTTCATGATTTAATTCTTCTATAGATGGCAAGTTTGATATTGATGATTCTTCAGATTGTATTTCATCGTCATCTTTTTAGCTTTAAATATTATACAAAAATGTTACCAAAATTTATGAGTATTTTCTTTTCTGATGAGACAATTAAATCTATTTTTTACATTGTTTTCACTTCTTGCAATTTTGAGTTTTTTTGATATTAGTGCCCATTTTTTACCTAATTCTTTAGCCTAGCACATTAGATCTAAATCTTCACTCAATTACCAAGGATTTCTATTATTTTAAAGTTTAATATTGTACCTATTAATGCTTGGGTTAAGATGATTATTCCATCTTTCCCTACATTATTTCCCATTTCTATGAACTTATTGATCATTAGTCTTATTAAGAGTTGTGGCAATTTGGCTCCATTTATTACCTTTATTTTAACTTTAAAATTCATAGATAATTTTCTATAGAAGATTATCTTCTAAAAGAGTCCAAGGAGCTTATTACAAAGGGAGTTTGAGCATTTGTAGCCATTTCTATTTACATTTGAATGCATCTCTACGAGGCATCATATTTGCAATATCATTCCAATCTGAATCACTCTAAAATAGACAACTAAATTTATACAATCGATTTGATATCTCTTTTATTTTATATAACCCATTTCCCCACTAACCATATTAAAACCTTCTTATCATCATCAGTCCAATTTTTTTTTGGTTTATTTGGCTAGGTTTGGAGATTAAGTTTATTCATCTGTTGGATGCTGAATACTTCTTAATCATCAGGAAATTTATCAAATTTAAGATTGAATGAAAATCGTCCATTAAGTTTGTATCAATTTTTAACATTTAATTTTATTATTGTATAAATAATGATAGCCATTAATCAAATCAAAAATTGATTTACAAATAATTTAATAATTTTAGCAGTAAAACCTTGATTAATTCATTTTGTATATTTCTTTAACATTAAATCAGTCCTTTTTATTTCTTCTTGAAAGATATTTAGATTATCTAACAACTTCATCGTTTCCATGATATAATTCAAATTTACAATTCCTTTTCTGCAAAATTTTTTGCTTTTGGGTTCTACCTCATCCAAATTTGATATTTTTGTTAAGATTTTTTTAATATTTTTTTCACATTTACTCCAATCATTTTTATATCAGTGGGAGAAAATATAAATATTGCAATTAATAAAGAGGGAGATAATGGAAAGTTATTCTGTTCACAAAAATAAATTATTGAAAGATTTATTTTATAAAATTAATGAAATTATTTCTAATTCATCCTCATGTTGAAATAAATGAGCTGAAGAAAAGGGTAAAATTGACTTTATAAATTATGTTGCCCTTGTTCAAGAAAATTTTATTAGTTTACAAAAAAGTTATATATAACTAATTCTAATTTCAATAACAATTCTCACCTAATCATTTGTTCGTAATGGTATTTAAAAGTTCTTCATAAAAATCTCTATAATAAATCCAATTTATCAATAAGCCTCGTACATATATTCTCCGCTACATAAACATTATCTAAATCATGATAATAAATGAAAAAAATTTTTAATTAGGATGCTTTATATGATAAAGAATTTTTTCATTTTTAAATGAAAAGATTTATTAACTAGAAATATTCTTTTTTTAAGATAACATTTAATAAAGCCTATTCAATTTTATTCAAATTCTATAAAACTTATTTCCCTATTATTCTAATACCTTCGTGTTGTTTATTAATTGCATTATTTAAATTATTGCAACTATAAATGTAAAACATTATCTAAAATGGTTCAGATGAGGAAACAGAATTTATATTTGACTCCAATGCAGTGCAGTAGAATGAGAGCAAGACTAAAATTTCATAAGCAAATGTAATTTACTAAATCTCATTTTAATTATAGGAAGAGATCAAACAATTAAATGACTAAAATAAGGAATTGGCCACTTAACTCAATAAATAGAATGAATTACTTGATTTAAAACATAAGCAGAATTAATAAATGCAAACTGAAGGTATTAATGATGTTTAAAATTTCTCAGTAATAAAATTGAAGGAAATAATCGATGATAGAGAACTTAAGTTATTATAATCTATGAAAGAAAAGCAACAAATATAAAATGAGCTTATTGGTTTACATGATATTTTAGACCAGACTACTCAAAGAAATGATCAATTAAATTCTGAAGTGTTTGCACTTAGATTAACAATGGAGTAATTATAATGTAAAACCTCTTATAATTTATATAATAGAGACTGCTACAATGTGTAAGGAAGATACTAATTAAACTTTACAAAGAGAGTTGAGATTAAAGGAAAATGTTGAAGCCCAAACCAAAGCAATTAAATAATACGAAGAAACCATAAGGAAAATTTCTAATGAACTTAATCAAAAATAAACTTAATATAAGATTGATATTTAAAATAGAGAAAACTAGATTTAAGATTTAAAGAGAAAACATGATTTGTAAATGTAATAGAATACAGAAATAATCCAGGAGCTAATAGAATAAAAAAACTAAAACCTATAAAACTCTGTTATGAGCAAAGATTATAAACCAGAACTTACAAAAATGACAAAAGAAATTGAAGAATACAAAAATCAGATTAAAGGATAAAATCATTAGATAAGTATTTAAAATGAAAAACTTTTGGCACTTTAAAATTAATTGGCAAAGTCTGAATAATCCATAGCTGATCTTTTCACTGAACTTTAATAGACTAAGCAAAAATTAAAGGAAAAAGATTAAGAACTTTCAAATAAACTTGGAGAGAGTATGTAGACAATTGAAAAATTAAATACCTAGATTTCATAATTGAATAATTAATTACAATTACTTAAATAATAAGATTAAAAGATAAATCTTGTGAGAAGTATTTCTTAAAATCAAGATGAAAGATTTGTTAAAGATATACAATTAAAAAACGAATAAATTGCAATGTTGCAGAATGAAAATAATTAATTAGTAAAATTAATTGAGACATTAAAGAATTAAAAATGTAATTATTTATTCTATAAATTTAGCTGATTAATAGGGAAATGAAGTTACTAAAATTAGATAATTAGAATCAGAATTAAAAAGTCTTTAATAATTCATTTACGATAGTCCTTTGGTGGTTCTATTTAATCTTCTTGAAGACAGATTATCCAAATAACAACAAAAGAGTTTTGAAAATAAAAAAAAGATTTAAGATTTCTGGAGTAATCAATTAAAACAGTGGACAGAAGGATTTGAAGAATTGAAAAAAGCATTTGGAGGTTTGAAGATTTCATTTAAATATGACCTTAAATACCCAATTGTTTAAAATGAATGAATATTATATATAAAATTAAATAAAATATTCAAAAATTTAATTAAAAAAAATATGATGAAAATTACAATTATTATTAATATAAATTTAATCAATCATCATCATCATCGGAACTGGAACTACTAGACGAGCTACTAGAACTACTGGATGATGAACTACCAGATGAATCCTCGGAACTCAATGGATTGGCATCTTTTAGCACTCTAAATTCGTTCTTGTCAATATCATCTAATTTAAGTGCTCTTTCATACAAATCGGACCTTAACTCCTTAAATGATTCCAATAGTCTTTGACTAAACTTTGGCCTTTCTTTTCTGACAGATCTTAAAGTAATAATTGATAATTACCTCCAAATTTTATCAAAATTGTTTATTGACATGAAATTCTGGGTTAAGGCAATTGAGTTATCTAGATTTAAAACCGCATGCCACCAGCCTCCAGGTACAAAGATTGTATCTCCAGGACCTTATACACACATTACAATCTTTAAATTATCAGCTCCTTCTTTTTAAATTAATTTTGGAAGTGCATAGAAAAAGTAATCTATGGATTCATCCAAAACTTCAGGATCAATTTCTTTTTTTGCTGCAAGTCCCTTAGCTTTTACTACACATTTTGGTATATCAGGAGGAAATAAAACCCATAATTTATGTCCTTAGAGTGATGTGTTCCATGCACTTGTCATCAAAGGATCTATGTGAACAGCTGTTCCAGATCGTTTTGGTCTATTATTTATATTTTAATTTACCCAACCAAAAACCATCTATATGGAGGACGATGTTTCTCTCCTACCATAGCAAAGAAGTCTTCTTAAAAATATTTATGTTTTTTATATCTTCCTATCATTTCAGCCCCTCCATCCTTCATATCTTCTACCGAACTAATAACGAAATTATTATTTCTTATACCTTTCAAATAAGTAAAGAGGAGAATCATCTTTATTGTACACTAAATATTCAAGAAAATATTTGAATGGCAATCTTAATTTTTTCCCTTTATCATCTTCACCAATTTTAAATTAAGTCTCTTTGTAAAGTTAATATAATTTCTCAAAAGTCCAATATTTCTCTACATTCCAATCTTCTGTTGTGTTAGTTATTATACAAGGAATATCTGGAATCTCGAATTATTTAACAAATTGTTCTGCTGTAAATGTGCGACCATCCACTTTTGCTATTGTAAAATATCTAAATTAAATTTTCATTACTTTTCATATTATTTTCTCAATTCCTTTAGACTTTTTTCATAATGGTTTCTCTGATGCCATTCTCTCAATCTTAAGTGACTTCTATCTTTTAATTTTATTTCTTCAATCAACTCCTATGCTTTGGAGCTCATTTCTTTTTCAAAGAATCTTGATGATTTCAACTTAAGCTTTTTAGCTGTTTCCATAATTTAATTATATTTATATCATAATTTTATCATTTCTTTAATTTGACATTGTAAAATTAAGTTAAATTTTATACATTTCAATGATGTTTTTAACATGATTTGTAATATAAATTATTGTTCAGATTACATAGATTTTTTTGTATACAATGTAAGTTTGATTTTTATTAACTGTTTTTAANGGGTTAAGGCAATTGAGTTATCTAGATTTAAAACCGCATGCCACCAGCCTCCAGGTACAAAGATTGTATCTCCAGGACCTTATACACACATTACAATCTTTAAATTATCAGCTCCTTCTTTTTAAATTAATTTTGGAAGTGCATAGAAAAAGTAATCTATGGATTCATCCAAAACTTCAGGATCAATTTCTTTTTTTGCTGCAAGTCCCTTAGCTTTTACTACACATTTTGGTATATCAGGAGGAAATAAAACCCATAATTTATGTCCTTAGAGTGATGTGTTCCATGCACTTGTCATCAAAGGATCTATGTGAACAGCTGTTCCAGATCGTTTTGGTCTATTATTTATATTTTAATTTACCCAACCAAAAACCATCTATATGGAGGACGATGTTTCTCTCCTACCATAGCAAAGAAGTCTTCTTAAAAATATTTATGTTTTTTATATCTTCCTATCATTTCAGCCCCTCCATCCTTCATATCTTCTACCGAACTAATAACGAAATTATTATTTCTTATACCTTTCAAATAAGTAAAGAGGAGAATCATCTTTATTGTACACTAAATATTCAAGAAAATATTTGAATGGCAATCTTAATTTTTTCCCTTTATCATCTTCACCAATTTTAAATTAAGTCTCTTTGTAAAGTTAATATAATTTCTCAAAAGTCCAATATTTCTCTACATTCCAATCTTCTGTTGTGTTAGTTATTATACAAGGAATATCTGGAATCTCGAATTATTTAACAAATTGTTCTGCTGTAAATGTGCGACCATCCACTTTTGCTATTGTAAAATATCTAAATTAAATTTTCATTACTTTTCATATTATTTTCTCAATTCCTTTAGACTTTTTTCATAATGGTTTCTCTGATGCCATTCTCTCAATCTTAAGTGACTTCTATCTTTTAATTTTATTTCTTCAATCAACTCCTATGCTTTGGAGCTCATTTCTTTTTCAAAGAATCTTGATGATTTCAACTTAAGCTTTTTAGCTGTTTCCATAATTTAATTATATTTATATCATAATTTTATCATTTCTTTAATTTGACATTGTAAAATTAAGTTAAATTTTATACATTTCAATGATGTTTTTAACATGATTTGTAATATAAATTATTGTTCAGATTACATAGATTTTTTTGTATACAATGTAAGTTTGATTTTTATTAACTGTTTTTAATATAATTATAATTGCTCAAGATTATATATTTTTCTTTAAACTTTTAAAAGCCATCATTACTTGAATAAGTTGATTATTGCAATCTATTTTTTGAGGAAAATCATTAAATTATCTTTTTGTAAGGAAAACCTTCTTGAAAGATTTTGCTATAATTTCCAGCTAATAAAAAGAATAAAGCATATATTGCTAAATCATTAATATATTGTAACAATTTAAGTATTACATTTTAAAAAGTTATGTTGAATTTTTGATATAATTTATTTTAAGAAGATTTAAAAATCAAAATGAATAGAGTTGAGATGGTTAGAATGATAAGAATAATTATATAAGAATAAAAGGATTGATAAGGAAGGAAAAATATTAATGGATTAGGTGGGTAATAATAAATATTAGAATTAGAAAATAATGTGTGTCAATATTGTAAAAAATAATGTTCTAGATTTGTGTTATAAAAATAAAGCAAGAGAAAGAAGAAAACGAATAATTAGTTTAGTTAATAATTGTTTAAATATAAATAACGAAATGAATAAAGGTGAAAAACTATTAATAAATTAAATTAATTATGAGATAATCAGGAGCGGATTTTACTTACTCAACAGCTCCAATAGCAAAGGTAAGGCGAGTAGAATTTGGTTTGATGAGTCATGAGCTTATAAAGGAATGGACAGGAGATATAGAAATAAAAGAGCTTCAAACTAACGAGTTAGATGGGACTCCAAAATAAAATGGATTAAATGACCTTCGAATGGGTGTGAATACAAATACTTAGAAGTGTAAAACATGTGGAGAGACAAAGTATTGTTAGGGACATTTTGGAAGAATTGAACTAAATAAGCCAGTTTATCATGTAGGATTCTTGTAGATAGTAAAGAAAGTATTGAAGTGCATATGTCATAATTGTGGTAAATTGAGATAACCATAATCAGAAGATGCAATGGTACAAATGTATTTTAAATAAAAAAGCAATAATTTAAAAGAGCAAAGGAACATAAACTGAATAGAAAGCGATTAAATGAAATAGTGAAATAATTAGGTAAAATAGATAAGTGTGAGGTTAAACATAAATTAGAAGATAATTTAGGGAATGAAGATCTTTGCTAAGCTTAAATTCCTACAAGAATTTAAGCTCTAAATGGATAGATAAAAATTTAATACTCAATGAAAGAGGCAGCAAAAGAGTTAACAGCAGAAAGATGCTTAGATATATTTAAAAAAATCAGAAATGAGGATGCAATGATATTAGGATTTACAAAGGAAACTAGACCATAAGATTTGATAATAAAATATTTATTGGTGATGCCTCCATAGGTGAGACCAGCAATAGAGATGAATCCAGCAAGAATAGCATAAGATTAATACACATAAATTTATAAATCAATATTGTAGAAGAATAATGAGATAGCAAATTGTAGTAGTGATGCAGAGAGAGTAAGATTGGCTCCAGAATTGATGAGAGAAGTTGCAAAGATTATAGATTCTGAGAAGGCAGGAAAGATAAAGATGAAATCAACATAACCATTGAAGAGTATTCGAGCTAGATTAAAGGGTAAAGAAGGAAGATTTAGATAAAATTTAATGGGAAAGAGAGTGGATTTTTGTGCTCGTTCAGTTATATCTCCAGATGCAAATTTGGGTATGGATGAATTAGGAGTACCATAAATAGTGGCTGATTAATTAACAATTCCAGAAGAGGTTACAGAATATAATTTAGAGAGAGTTATATAATTGGCAAAGACTAATAAGATTAAATATGTTATAGTACCAATAACTGATCCTAGAAGTAAATAAAGGAAGTTTTAAGCTTTGTATTTTGATTTTACAGATACTGAAGAATAGATTAGATAAAAAATAAATCAAGGAGTTATAGTAGAAAGATGTTTATAAGATGGAGATTTTGTATTATTTAATAGATAACCAACATTACATAGAATGAGTATGATGGGACATAGAGTTAGAATTTTACCATATTCAACATTTAGATTGAATTTATCTGTATGTACACCATACAATGCAGATTTTGATGGAGATGAGATGAATATGCATGTTCCTTAATCTTATGAAACTATTGCAGAATTAAAATATTTAGCGCATGTTCCTAGATAAATTGTTACTCCAAAAAGTAATCAACCAGTTATGGGTATTGTGCAAGATTCATTACTTGGTTGTTGTTTATTTACTCAAAGAGATACTTTTTTAACTAGAGATTAAGTTATGCATTTAATGATGTGGAATGAATAATTCACTGGAGAATTGCCTATGCCTGCTATTCTAAAACCTTAAGAATTATGGTCTGGAAAATAAATTATGTCAATGATTATTCCTTAGTCTATTAATACTGAAAGAGGCATAAGAGAAGATGATCTTAAAAAACCAAATTGGAATGCTGATGATAAAAGTTTATGTATTTAGAGAGGAAATCTAGTTAGTGGAATTTTTAATAAGGAACTAGTTGGATAAGGAGCAGGTTCTGTTGTTCATCTTTGTTGGCTTGATTTAGGAGCTGAAAAAACTTTAGAATTTATGACATCATGTTAAAGAATTGTTAATAATTGGTTAATTATGCATTCATTTACTGTTGGATGCCAAGATATTGCTCCTCATATCAATTTAGTTGCTGAAACTGAAAAAAGAAGTAGAGAATAAGATGAAGAATATATTAAATTACTTTAAATCTTTCTTGATGCCAAAAAGATTTAAGATAACAGATATCATTAAAAAGGAAAAAGAATTATGGATTCATTTGAATATTCATTTAATATGAAATTGAATAAGGTTAGAGATGATATCAATTCTAAAGTTACTGAAACTATTGATCAAATACGTAATTGTATGTACAAGATGATTTGGGCAAAAAGTAAAGGAGAAGCGTCTAATCTTGCATAAATTACATCTTTGGTTGGATAACAGAATTTAGAATCTAAAAGAATTTAATTTGGATTTGCTTATCGAACATTGCCTCATTTTTCTAAATTTGATTATGGACCTGAAGCTAGAGGATTTGTAGCCAGTAACTTTTTCAAAGGACTTAAACCTACAGAATTCTTTTTCCATACTATGGGTGGTAGAGATGGTCTTATTGATACTGCTGTGAAAACAAGTAGAACAGGTTATATTTAAAGGAAATTGATTAAGGCTGTAGAAGATGTTTTTGTAAGATATGATTCATCTTGTAGAGATTCTGTTGGTGCTGTTTATCAATTTCATTATGGAGAAGATAAAATGGCTGCAGAATTCATTGAACATTAGGAAATTAAATGTGTTAATTTAAGTAATTAATAATTGGCAGAAAAATATTAATTAATTTAAGAATAATGGTTTGGTAGTGAAATTAGAATGAGATATTAAAATATATTTACGGAAGATGTAATAGATGATATAGAAACTGATTATGATGGTTAAGCTTTGTTAAAAGGAGAGTTTGATGAAATAAAGAAGATTAGAGATGAATTACGTAGATTATTTTTAATAGACTCTGCACCAAAAGAAGAGATATTTACTCATTATTATTTAGTTGTAAATATTGAGAGAATTATTTCAACAATTAAGATTAATAAAAAAATTAGTGATAGAGAGAAATGTAGATTGAATCCAATTACAGTAACTAAAGAGGTTGATGAATTAATTTAAAAAGTTGATAAATTGTTGAGTTATGATTTAGATGAAAGAAGAGATTGTATAAATTTATTTAGAACACATTTGAAAGTATCATTAGCTAGTAAAGATTTATGTTGTAGACACAGATTGACACCAGAAGCATTTAAAGAATTATTATCTGAGATTATCTATAAACTTAAAAAAAGTATGGCTCATCCAGGAGAGGCAGTTGGTGCTATAGCTGCATAATCTTTAGGAGAACCTACAACTTAAATGACTTTAAATACTTTCCATAAATCTGGAGTTACAGGAGATAAAAATGTGACTTTGGGTGTTCCTAGATTATAAGAATTATTGGATGCAAGTAAAAAGACTAAAACTCCAAGTTTGACTATTTATTTTGATCCTCCTTTAGAGTATGCTGAATTGGAATTAAAAGACGATAAGGATAAGAAAAGTTATTAAAAAACTGAATAATTAGCTCATCCTCATAAATAGGATGATTTTACTTAGAGTATGCTTGTCTAAATGTAAGGAAGAATTCTTGGACAAACATTTGGATAATATATAATAAAGAGTGAAATCTATTATTAAAGTGATCCAAATAATCCATTACATATTACTGAAGATTAAGAGGATAACTTTACCGATGGAATTTTTGATACTGATGAAGCTAAATATAAATGGATATTATTTTTACATATGGATCATTAAAAGATTTTATCAAATTTAGAAACTTGGGATAAAATTCGAGATAGCATTCCCAAAATTTTGGATGAAACAGAGAGGAAGTTTGGCATTTCATCATAAAATACAATAGTTGATCCTGATTCGATGAACCATAAATATATTTAAATAAAATATTATCATGATTACAATGATTAAAAGAAATTTAAACCTGAAAGAGGAAAGGGTAATTTTGATGATGAAATTGAATTCGATGAAGAAGCTAAAACTAAAACTTATGTAGATACTCCTTATACAATATTAAAGAGATTAGAAGAAACAATAAGAGGACATTCTTTGGGAGGTATAAGTAAGATTACTAGGATTCTACACTCTTAGATAGAAAAATAATTTTATATTAATAATAAGACAGGTGGATTTTTAAAATAAGCAAACGTAGATGGGAAAGGTAAATGGAAAATAGTAGAGAAATATTTAGAAACAGAAGGAACTAATCTTAAAGAGATTCTTAGATTAGAACATGTAGATTAGAGAAGAACTACGACAGATGATGTTTATGAAATATCATAAGTTTTAGGAATAGAAGCTGCAAGAGCTGCATTGGTAGGTGAAACTAGAAAGATATTCAATCATTATGGTATCTATATTAATTACAGACACTTATATTTATTATACGATTGGATGACTCATAGAGGTAGATTAACAGCAGTTAATAGAAATGGTATAAATAGAATACCTGAAGTAAGTGTTTTACGTAAAAGTTCATTTGAAGAAACAGTTGAAATATTATATGATGCAGCTGTATTTTCAGAAGTAGATCATATGAGAGGATTAAGTGAAAATATAATATTTGGATAATTATGTCCACATGGTACAGGTAGTTTTGAATTAATGGTTAATGCTAAAAATGTTAAAGAATTTAAATTGAAATCTAGCCATGCTGATAAATTCACTTAAGGAGGTGAATATCTTGTAGAACAATCTCCCTATGATTAAAATCTATAAACTCCTCTTATTCTTAATACTCCAGGACCTGGAATGCTTGATTCCTCTTGTACTCCAATTCCACAAAAATCTCCTGGAATTGGTATTGCTATTTTTGCTACTCCTTTTGATATCAATAGAGATTATACTCCAAACATGAGTCATCGTTCCCCATTTTATCCTAGTACTCCTCTTATACCATATGATACATATTAACTTAGTCCTGTTGAATCTATTTCTGGATAATAAGCTCAACCTGGAAAATAAGCTAATGTTAGTGTTAGTCATAGTCCAGGATCACCTCATTATACTAGTCATACAAATTCACCAAGTCCCAGTTATAGAAGTAGTGAAAGAGCTACCTCTGGTCAAAGATCTTCTAGTCCCATTCTTAATTCATCCAGAAGGTAATATATTCTATCTCTAATATATCTAGTCCCAATTATACTAGTAGTATTTATAATTCTCCTCTTTCCCCTACTAATACTGGAAGTGGTCGTGTTTAAACTGGATCTCCTCATTCACCTTAAGGATCTAATTTCACCACTTTTAGTCCAATCTATTAACCATAAGGAAATACTACAAACTAGTATGAATAAGAATAATGAAATTATCATATTAAATAATAAAAAACCCATTTTTATTTCTAACTTATAATACTAATCTACAAATCATAACATTCTATTATCATTTCTTAAATCTATTTTCAATTCCCAAACTCTCCCTTATTTTGTTTACATCCTCTTCATTCTTTTATGATTCTCTTATCTATTAAACTAATTAACTTGCTCTCTATTTTGATATATTTAATGCCTTCTATAAAATTTCATTTAAATCATTATCATTATCCTTAATCTTGTCTCCAAATACTCTTGCTACATGTAAACATTCCACTCTCTTTACCATTTTCTATTATTCCTCATTATTTGACTCTTTTTTATCACTCTTTTTCTATTCTTACAATATTTATTAAGCTCTTAACTCTTCATTATACTAAGCAGTATAAGGACTAATAATTATTGTTATTTCTCCCTTTAATTAAGAAGCTGTAACCACTTTAGGATCTGTTAATTATTCATAAACCTCTCTGCATTTCCCTCTAATCTTTTTTTCATTTTACTTTGTTAATTCAAATCCAATCCATATTTATTGATTTTCGCCAAATATCTCCTCTATTCTCAATAAGGTTTAATGAATTCTATTAGGAGACTCAAATAAAACTATTGTTTATGGTTGTTTCTTATACAAAGATAATACATCTTTATTTTTATCCTAAATCGAATAAACACCCAAAAAAGTAAAATTATCTGCAGGAAATCCACAAGCACTTAATCCTACAGAAATTGCACTTGCTCCTGGTAATACTTCAATTTAAATATTTCTATCTATGCATTTAGTCACAAACTTATATCCATTATCTGACACTCCTGGAGTTCCACTATCACAAACTAATGCTACATTTAAACCCATCTTCATCATTGCTATTAATCTTTCTACTTTTTTTTCATCATTAAAGTTACTACAACCTATTATTAATCCTCTGCCTTTCTTCTTCTTAGCTTAGGCTACTTTATTTCTTAAATACATCATTAATGGTGCACTCAATCCATATACTTCAAATTCAAATGGATTAATTTCATCATCTTCTTGCAATTCTTTTTATAATTTTGATCCCTAAACTTATTACTCTTTTAATTCTTCTAATTTCTTCTACTTATAAAACTTAAAATCTGTAGATGTTATAAACTCCTTGTTTAATTCTGGTAATTTTCTAAATACTATTAACTTTAATACTCTTTCAATTCATTAGTTGATTTAAATATTATTTCTTATATTTGAATATCATCTTCATCTAAATCACATTCCTAAAAATCAAATGGAACAACCTATTGTTAAGTATCTCCTTCTTAATTCCTAATACTCTTTATAAAGAATCCAGTTTAATTTATATCTTAACAAGCTATTACATCTACTCCAAATATTGTTAAATTCTATCTTGAACTCCAGTCTTTCAAATTTCCAATCGGAGTTGGACATATTGTTAAAATTCCTTTTGTTTTTGCTATTTCTCCAATTTCAAGAATTTCATCCTATATTAATATTAATTTTCTACTATTTTAGAAGAGAATTATCTCACTAAACGAGAAGCATATCTGATCATTGATAGTTTAAATTAATTAATATAGTCTAATGGGAAATAAATAATAATAAGCCAAAAAGAGAAATAGCAATTTAAGTTTGAATAGTATGGGTAGATCAGTTTCAACAGCCCCTACAAATGAATCAGGTTTAATTAGATCAACAATAGATGGTAGTCTAAGTTCTTCTATGTTTGGAGGAGTTGAATTTTATTTTAATCGTATGCCTAACTCTGTTATTGATGGCATTTGTAAATTTCTAACAATTAATGATCTAACTAATTTATATTGCACAAGTAGATTTGTCTATGAGAGATTTTATACGTCTCTTCCATACTCTATTGCATGTGGAAATCTATTGTATAAATTATATCAGGACAGAAAAGGTATTGCATTATAGGCAGTTCAAACTAAACATGCATCTTGGCCATAAGTATTAGAGGTTTTTATTAGAAACAAGTAATACATTCATTTATCAAATTCCTAGAAAATAAATAGAAAATCTAAAAACTAATCTCCAGTAATCTTTATAGAATGCTTTCCAAATACATATTATATATCCTCCATTATTAATGGATGAGGTTACCAAAGAAGGCTTAAATTCAGAATTTTAAAGATAAATTATGCAAAAATTAACAGATTGTCAAGAATGCCATACCATTACTGAAATCTAAATCATGAATCAAACTAGAGCTTATTTTAAAAATTCCTCATGTTCAAAATAATCACTACTTCATACAATGCTTGAAATTAGAGCTCTCACAGAATTATCAGTAAATTAAAAGTAACAGTTTATAATTATTATTTTTAGAATTCCTTAATTATTTAATATTTTAATAATTTTATGCTCATCTATTAAATCTCTTTTATAAATTGTAGCCTTAACACTTGAATGTGCATTCAATGGAAATGATTATATTGGAGAATTAGAGTTTTACCTTTATAATTATTAAATGTATCTTATTTGGATGCAATAAATAGATCAATTTGCTACACCTTATCTCAAAATTTTTGATATCATTTTACATGAGCAAGTACCTTCATATATATTTCCTCCATTTACAATTCAATGGATAATGATGAAAATGTGGAATTAATGCATTTATTAAAAATGCAAACATTTCTTAAGATCTATTTTTCTTTAATAGCTTTAATAGGTTAGACTTAATCCATCTCTTAAATATGAATAATTTTTGTTAAAGGACTACATCTTATCTTTGATTGATCTTTCAACCAATCAATCAAATATTAGGATGGCTGGACATTCTACATTTAAGTATATTAAAGATTTAGAGAATCTTTTTTAGGTTGTGATAGAATAATCAGTAGATTTATGGAATTCGAAAAACTTTAATTTTAAAAAGGATATAAATGTACTTGGATATATCTTTTAAAAACACATTTTAGAAAACAATTTATTACATAGTCTTCTAGAGTAAAAATATGAAACTGTGAAATCATCAATAGAAGCAATTAAACAAAGTCTAGAATTTTAAAAAAGAATTATTAAATATGATGATGATAGTTTGATTCTATCAGAATAGACAGATTATTCATTTTAACTTTTAAATATAAATAAAGTATTTTAAAAGATCAAATCAATTATAAATGGTGAAACTATTATAGAACAAAATGTTAGATTAACTATTAATTATTAAAAAAACACACTAGATAAATTATAAATCTATTTAAGAGATTATCATTCTGACTTATATGAATAAATTTCTTAATTAGCTAATATAGATGTATCTTCAAGGGAAAGTGTTTAAATTCGTGATGCTGTAATAATTCATCGAATGAAGCCAGAAGATTATGATAATCAATTAGTTTCATATGATACTATAATTGATACAGAAATCCTTAAATAATTGATAAATTAAAGGTTGATTAATTAGTAAAACGATTGTTAAATTTAGAAATAAAAAACTAATTTAAAAAAATGGTAGATTTAATAAAAAGAGCAAAATGAAACATTTTTTTCGATTAACATAGTAAGTGGATTAAATCTTGCTTAAAGTTTAACAGAACAATTTATAAGTCAATAATGATTATATTCTAAAAACTTTTGTTTAGATATTTAGATAAATATTAATTATATAATAATATAATTATAATAAAAAATACATATATAAATTAATTAGAATCAAAATAATTCTTATAAAAATGAATCGATAGTGTTAAACATTTTATTTTATTGTATGAGATCACCTTCAAACTCTTTATCCCCATTTAATACTAGAATAGATGTATTTTAATGAGTTTCCCTTAATAGCCATTCTTCATGTCTATTATGTATTTATGTCAGATATTCTTTGGAAATGGTATTCTTTAAAATAATAAAAATGGCGGTAATACTTTTTCTTCATCTCTTGCTCTCTTTTGCATTCTTTAATAGCATACATCTGGATCTACTTGTAGATATATGATCATTTGCTTTTTAATTTTTTTTCCAAACACCTCATCACATAGCCAATCATAAAATTTCTCATATAAAGCAAATTCTAGATTATTTATCATCCCATTTTTATGTCCATTAACTGCAAATATTTCTTTATCAGCCTCTATACTTCTTTCACTTAGAATGAGATTTCTATCTTCAGGATTTAATGGATCAGATAAAACCTCTTTCCAATGCTTAAGTCTACTGTAAAATGCATAAACTTGCATTGTATAAGCCCATCTTGATGGCTCTTCATAAAAAGAACCTAACAAATTCAAATTTGGATCTCCATTAATTGTTTACCATTCATTAACTGGTTCTGGGATAAATCGTAACTAATAATTATTAAATATATATTTACATCTGGATATTTTTATTACATCAATCTGAGTAAAGTACTTTTACCTGAACCTATATTACCTTCAATAGATATTAGAGTATATTGTTTCGATTTCATAAAAATAAAATAATAATATTGGAGGGATTTTTGAAATATAAATAAGAAACTCAATTCTAATTAAAATTAGAGGTATCACAATACATTGTTTATTTTTTATTGTTAAATCTTATAATGGCAAAATCTTACTTTTAGAAATTACCAGGATTCAATACTGTAGTATCATTTATTATAGTTTGATATTTGAATTAATCGACAGTTAAATCACATAATACAACTAAATCAACACTTGGATCAAGTAACATTGCAGAATCATAATTCCATTTATAACATACTTAATTACTTTAAAATGTTCCCAAATATTGTTAAGATAATATAGTTTCACTAAGATGATCATGTCCAGCCTATAATGGTTCAATATGATTTCTTCTAATTTCTTTTGAAATATCATTTCTTGTTATTACTATTTTATATCCTTTTATTGACAAATGACAAGGATTACTTAAACTATGCATCATTAAAGTAGGTTCCTTCATATATAATGATAAATTTATTGGTGTTTTTGGCATTGAATATGCTAAAGGAAAATCATTATATGAAGGAATAAATAGTAATAAAGTTTTTTCTAAAAATTATTAAAATTGCTTGATAATTTTAACTAATTCATTTCCATAAAGTTATTCCTGATTTGGTATTTGTTAACTAGAAAATTATCCAACAAAAAATATTGCCCCAGGAGGAGCTATGTTATAGTCAATAACTTTTTTAAGTAAAATCTCAAAATTTTGAATTGTTATTAAGTTTTCTAAACTAAAATTTGATAGAATCCATATTTTATCGTAATCATCTTAATAAAATATATTTATGCTTTTCTATCTCTCAATTTTTTGATATTCTAACTCAGAACTAAACTCTAAAATTTTCTTGTAGACTCCAAATGTGTCCAATTACAAAATCTCTCTTAAATCTGAATTTTAAATTTGCTATTTAATTTTCTTTTTCACATTAAACTTAAAATTAATAAATTAATATATACAAATGGAATAGTATAATTACTAACTTAAAAATATCCATGATGATCATTCCATTCTCCTACCATCATCAAAATACTTCCCAAATTAACTAAACCTATATCTACTTAGTTTGGATTTTCATTTTTAAAAAAACTTTTATTTTAAGCGCTCTGAAAATTTATTTTAATTTTGTCATAACCATCACTTAAATAATAACTATTTCCAAATTATATCAGTATTCTATTCTTATATTATTTTATATACCCCAATATATAATAAATCTTATCTGTTGCACCATTTGCTGTGCCTATTGAACTTATTGAAATTTCATCGTTGCCTTAATAACCAAAAACATAACGAGAATCTTATTTTAGCAATTTTGTAATGTGTGCTAATCTATTTAATTGCATATTTTATTTATCTTAAGGAGTGCATTAAATTGTAAATCTATCTAATTCAAAATAATCTAAAATTATTATTGATTTCTTTATTCTATCCTATAATATTGCAACTTAATTATAAGAATTTTATTATCTTCCTTATTGTATCATCTCAGTTATTTTTTCTACTTCTTCTTTCTCAAGAAATTCATAATTTAATTCCTTAGCAAAATAAACAAATTATTAAGGAAGAGATTTGTCAATATATTATCCATGCAATTCTTTGAACCTTTTCAATCCATCTTTTCTAAAATGAATATTGGCATAATTAAGCATTTTCAATAATTTTTCCATTTCCCGCCTTATATATTTGATAAATATTTTAATATTATAGATTATATTAAGTTCAAAAATGTTTTTAACCAAAAATATTTTATTTTTTTTTTAATTACTTCCTTTATTTATAATGAGAACTAATCATTTCATAAAAGCATGATCTTAATATTTAAAACTAATTCTGATTAATCATATTTTTTTGTTATTCTAAGGAGAATATAAAATAGTTTACATAATGAACTATTCGAATAAGAACTTAATGTAAACCTGTTATTATTTTCATTATATTGATGCTTCCTCTATAAGAAACTTGATTTCCAGCTTTATGTTTTTTTACATTTTAAATCCTCTGATATGTGGTCTAGTATTTGTAACCTAAATTTTTTTAATCATTTATTGAAACAAAAATAGCATTTAGTTATCATCAATGGAAATAACATTTTCTAAAATTATTCACAAGATCCAACTTATTCATTTAGTTAACCTTCTATTTCAAGAGTAAATTAACCATTTCCATAATTCTCAAACACTATTTTCTCTACTCAATCAATAAGTAGTAACAGTTAGAGTAAAATATTAAGATTTGAATTCTCTTTCTCTATTAATTAGATATGCTTAATCCTTCAATTCAATTACAAACTTTACTAAGATAGCATTTATTTTATTAAATTCTAAAAGTTATATAATTATTTTTTTTTCCAAAAGTTTGTCAATTTTAATATATTTTATCATATTCTTTGTTAAATATAATNAAAAACATAACGAGAATCTTATTTTAGCAATTTTGTAATGTGTGCTAATCTATTTAATTGCATATTTTATTTATCTTAAGGAGTGCATTAAATTGTAAATCTATCTAATTCAAAATAATCTAAAATTATTATTGATTTCTTTATTCTATCCTATAATATTGCAACTTAATTATAAGAATTTTATTATCTTCCTTATTGTATCATCTCAGTTATTTTTTCTACTTCTTCTTTCTCAAGAAATTCATAATTTAATTCCTTAGCAAAATAAACAAATTATTAAGGAAGAGATTTGTCAATATATTATCCATGCAATTCTTTGAACCTTTTCAATCCATCTTTTCTAAAATGAATATTGGCATAATTAAGCATTTTCAATAATTTTTCCATTTCCCGCCTTATATATTTGATAAATATTTTAATATTATAGATTATATTAAGTTCAAAAATGTTTTTAACCAAAAATATTTTATTTTTTTTTTAATTACTTCCTTTATTTATAATGAGAACTAATCATTTCATAAAAGCATGATCTTAATATTTAAAACTAATTCTGATTAATCATATTTTTTTGTTATTCTAAGGAGAATATAAAATAGTTTACATAATGAACTATTCGAATAAGAACTTAATGTAAACCTGTTATTATTTTCATTATATTGATGCTTCCTCTATAAGAAACTTGATTTCCAGCTTTATGTTTTTTTACATTTTAAATCCTCTGATATGTGGTCTAGTATTTGTAACCTAAATTTTTTTAATCATTTATTGAAACAAAAATAGCATTTAGTTATCATCAATGGAAATAACATTTTCTAAAATTATTCACAAGATCCAACTTATTCATTTAGTTAACCTTCTATTTCAAGAGTAAATTAACCATTTCCATAATTCTCAAACACTATTTTCTCTACTCAATCAATAAGTAGTAACAGTTAGAGTAAAATATTAAGATTTGAATTCTCTTTCTCTATTAATTAGATATGCTTAATCCTTCAATTCAATTACAAACTTTACTAAGATAGCATTTATTTTATTAAATTCTAAAAGTTATATAATTATTTTTTTTTCCAAAAGTTTGTCAATTTTAATATATTTTATCATATTCTTTGTTAAATATAATAGTTGATTTCTGAAAAATAAATCTTTTATCACTAATGCCCTATTATTATTTAATCTATAATTTCTTTTGAAGTATTGTATAAATATATATATTTCGTTTGATTAAATTAAAATGGGTTCAAGTTCCGGAATAGGACTCTAACCCACAACCAATTATATTGGTTTAAACTTGGATAGTTTATAACACTTATTTTGGTAAGTGAATTTATATGAAAAAATTTTCTCTATTTAAATGTAGATAAAAATTTTTTAATTATGGGTTTGGTAAAATCTAAAATAAATAATTTATTTTAAACCCATAATTTTAGAAATAATAGAATTATATATAAAATACCAAAAATAACAAAAAGAAATATTACGAAAGTAATAACTCGGCTTTTTAGCTAAGTTTCATTCCAAGTTTAAACCAATGTAATTGGTTGTGGGTTAGAGTCCTATTCCGGAACTTGAACCCATTTTAATTTAATCAAACGAAATATATTAATTATGGAATGATAATTGTAAATGAAAATGGTCATCACTCTTATTAGTTTAACTTCAGTTTAAGTTTTATGATATTCTTGTGATAATTTGTTATTTTAATCCAATTTCAATTCTCAGCATGTTTTTGTTTAAGAGAAATTGAACATCTCATTAACATAAATTAGGAATTGTAAATATTGATAAACTTGAATCAATAACAGAAATTGAAAAAGTTGATGTTTATTGACTTTCATAATTTAAAAAATATCTTAATAGACTAAAGTTTTAATGTATTTAGATAAAATATAAATGAAAAATTTTCATCATAAATTACCAAATCGAAATAGATAATTTGATTAAAAAAATAAGATGAAATTATCAATAAAATTTATTAGATATCAAATTAATTTTTCTTGATGTTAGAATTATTAAAAATATAAAAGATATGATTCCATTGATAAATAAATGAGTTAAAGAAAATTTAGAAGATTTAATAAAAAGAATAAATCATTTTGAATATCTAATAAATTTTGAATGTGTCATTTTTTAAATTAAATACAATTATATAAGAATACAAACAAATTTCACTTTTATAAGATTATTTTACATCTTATTTCACAACAATCATATATCTTATACTTTTCATACTATGCAAAATATTAAACTGTTTAATCCTTTAAAGATAAAAGACTCATTTTTAATTAAATAGTTAATTACAAATACAATAAATAAATCATTATTCATATTCAAAGTTTGAGTTCTTGTTTTCAATTACTTATTAACTATTTTGCATTAAATTTTATATGAGTAAACTTCCTTAATTTTATCTTAATTCATCATCACTGTTTTCAAGTGGATTTACAATATCATTATCACTTAATGGATCTAAAGATTCTGCCAATTTTATTAATGCTTCGCTATCCTTTTGTACATCATTTTCATTCAATGTATTATAATTGGTTTATTATTATTTTAACATTTTCAAATCATTTTCAATAACTTAATTTTGAATCATTGTTATGAATATATTGTCATTTTATTTTTAATCATTGTTTAATTATTTTTTAGAATCCTCTTTATTAATATGAAATTGTGATATTTCATTGCTTTCTATCATCTTACCAATTGATTCTTTTCTTTCCTCTTCCTCTACTTATTTAAAAAATGCAGTTCCATTTAACTTAGATTTATCTTCATCTTAAGTTTTAGGCAGATCTTAATCTTATTCGATTAAAAAGTGCTCAGAATTATTTGAAAAATTCTAAACAACATCTTCAACTACTTCTAATTAAACTTAATTCTTAGGAGGTTCAACAATAATTTATTAGTCAAAATCTGTAATTTTTATAATAATAGGTGGTGTATTTGATATTTTAGCTTAATCATTTTAAAAATTGAGATTTTTTTTAGATTTATTTTATTCAACTTTAGAAATATTGATTGATGTAATTTTTTAAAAATCTAATTTTTTTAAATTTTTAGATTAACTTTTCTATAAAATATCTCTAGTGCCAACACTTTTACTTTTAAATTATTCTGGAGATTATGAAACTAATTAGTTAATATTATAATTTTTGTGTTATTTTGGTTTAGTTAATGCTAATTAAATTTCTTTATGATATTTTTTATATTAATAAAGTGATTTTTATTATGAACTTCTGACAGATGGTAACTATGTAGTTTATCCAGATCTTATTTATAATAATTTTTAATGTTATGAATCTGGATCTCGTTCACTTTATATTTAATCTATAGGTTTATCTGTTATAGTTTTTTTAGTAGTATTATTTTAGACAGATTCATATTATTCAAAACCAAAATTATGATGGTTTGTTTCTTGTAATTCAATTTTATTTTTTTTTTCAAGAGTTTTGGATAGATTTATATTATTTAATTTAGGAGAAATATTAGTTTTTTATGTTAAATCTCTTCCTCTATCTGATTTACTAATATTTATATTAAGATCATCTTTCTTGATTTAAGGTAATTTAGAAAAGTTCTTTTATGTTTTTATATTTTCAACTTCTTTTTTATTTGGTAATGAATTTTCACGCAATTATTTACTAAGTTTTTCAGTTGCCTAACTTATTTTTCTTAATTGATCTTGTTATTTAGAAATTTGATTATCAATTTTTTCAGGTGGAAAATAAGTAATTACTAACTGCTAAACATTCTATACTGTTGTAATTAGAGAATCAAGAAATGTTACAAAATGTTCTTTAGATAAGGATCTTGATACTTTAGGAACTTTTAATTTGTTTGATACTTTAGTAGCACTCTAATGTTGTGTCAAACTGGGTTAATTTTATAGTTAAATTTAATTTGATTGATGCTAAACTTTATGTATTCATCCTTACAATAGTTTATTCAAAGGACTTTGATTGTTAATGAATTAAATTTCTTTAACTCATTCTATCTTGTTTCATTTTAATCATTTGTTATCTCATCTACATATTAAAAAAGTATTATTCTAAATGACTATCCTTTTCTGCTTTGTAATCAAGTACTTTTCCTCTTTTTGCAGCACATACTCCATCTAATAAAAAGGGAGGCTTTATTTTTTACTTTAGTTGTTGCATATAAATTTTATAAATGAATTATGCAAATCCATTATCGTTGTCAATTCATGGAAGTTTTCTTAATCAAAAAGAAAATCCAAGTATTTTAACTAGCTTCCTATCTCAAAATTAATCAGTCAGATCAACTTAATCAATACCTACTAAGTTGAGTTATATATCACAAAATAAGTCAAAGAAAAAAGAACTTGTATCTCCAAGATCAAAGATTGTTACTTTACATGAAGATAGAAAATCTGAAAAGAGAACTATAGAAAGAGTTAAATATGTTTCAGAACACTCTAATACACCTTATTTATACATTTCAAAAAAACATCCTTAAATTAACATTTCCATGTTTCCTAAACTTTCACCTGAACCTAAAATATAAGTTAATAGAATGCCTTATATCAACATAATGACAGAACCAACAGCTGCTATTGAAGAACATAATGATGAAGGAAGAAGTAATGGGGAAAAAAGTATTGAAGATAAGTAAATGAGTTTGAATAAATCCAATAATTTACTTCAAACTTCTATTATTTCCAACAATTAAGAAGAATAACTATCATCCAGCAAATTATCTCTCAAATCGCGTTTTAAACAAGCAGTCTAAAAATCCTTTCGCTCTCCTCCTAGGAAAGTATTATTTTATATAATTAGTCTATTTTTACTCTTCTAATATCTCATGAATTTAATACATTTCATCAAAATGAGAGAAAAACCATCCAAAACAAATTTGAACCAGGAAATTAAGTATTAGGTTCCAAAATTATTACCATGAAAAAAAATGATTACAGAAATCTTTGTATCTATAACAGACTAATTACCAGATAATCACGCTTTGCTAATGTTGAATAATTTACTATCTCTTCTTAAGCATTCTAAAGGAAAATTAATTTAATTCATAGTACAAATTCTAGAAATTTAATTTAAACTGAATCTTTTTCTTTACTTCCAAAATCCTCAAGAAAATCTGCTATTAGCATTATTTAAAATTTATAAACTAACTTTTTACATGGAATTTCTGATAAGAAATAATCTAAAATTGAATAATAAGAAGGAGTAGAAAAATAACTATTACATGATAATAAAGAATTTTAAAGAGTTTAAATTAATTTAACTGTAACTTTTGAAAATGAAGATAAAACAGTCTATTAATTCAATAAACCAAAATATATATATTAATAAAATAACATCTTAATCGAAGATTTATCATAACTTTAACAATTTTCACCAAAATTAACTCCAAAAATTGTTCCTTTATCTTTACAACCATCTACAAATTAGATTTAACTTGCATCTACTAAAAAATTAGATTACAATTCTTCTTTTATTAATTTAAGAACAAAAAGATTATCCAGATTATCTGTTTAATAAGGAGTAACATAGGAAGAAGTTCTAAAATTTGAATAAAAAAACGAATTTAATAAAGTAATTTTTTTTTTTATTATTTTTATTATAGCCTGGCTTATATTTCAGAGTTTATTATTAAAATAAATTGTATAAATTGATGTAGAAATCTAATTTTACAAAACAAAATTTAGAAGAAATAGAATAAAATTTTAGACCTAAATTTGCCTAACCTACTAATAATACTATAATGACAAATGCTTATACAATGATGTCAACTACAGAATAAGGAATAAGATAAAGAAAGATTACTAATGAATCTATAACAGATAAAATTTAATTTTTAGGAATTAAATTATCAAAATATTAAATAGAATCTGAAAGATTTATTTTTGATTATAATGATGAAACATCTTAAGATGGCACAGATTCAAGTGAAGATTCAGATTAAGAAGTTTCTTTAGATAAATATTTAGAAAGTCCTTTATATTCAAATAGTAATAATTATTATTAATTATAGCTAGAACCATTAGATAAAAAGAAAAAGATTTCTAAAAGATAAAAAACTCTTTTAGAAATTTCAAATTAATAGTAAAACTAAGCTTAATTTTTCAATGATTAACATACAGATTAAAAATGTAAATCTAAATAAAATTATAGAATTATCAACTGGAACATTAGTTTTAATAAAGAAAATTCGCAAAGCCTTTCAAATACCATTATTTATTTAACCAATCATAAATATATTAGAACCTTCTACAAAAAATAAGTTGTTAACATATCATGTTAAATTTTGTGAAGAATTTAAAATGGATTTAATAGAGGATAAACTTTAAATTGTTTTAAAAGAACTGAGAAAATATTAGAAAAACCCAAAACTACATTCAATGATACTTTCAGCAATTGAGATGAGATATTCTTAAATTCTAATTGGAAGGTATAACAATTAAACTAGAATGATTGATGTTGAACATTAAGATCCAGTATTCTAAGTTCCAATATTAGAAAAATAGGATTAATAATAATCTTATCACATTCCATAATAAGTAGTTTAAGTTAAAAACTAAAATAAATTTGTTCAAAAAGAATCAGTAAAAGACTCATTTAATAAAAAACCTTAAACGATAGTAAAGAGTAAATAATAATCTTAAAGATATCTTACTAAATAAGATTCTCTTTAAGTTAATTTACCATAATAATAATGGAATAGAAGAGCTATGTAATCTGGAGAGCTATCAAATACATTGCAATAGTCAAATCAATAAAATTCAAATTTTTTTACATAAACATCTACTGTTTTAATAACTAAGCCTACATAAACATCTTAATAATCTGTATTTAGAGTGATGAGTTCAAAACATATTGATTTAAATAGTTCTTAGTAAGATATGAGTTCTTCATTCCATTCTTCATAAAATGAAGAGACTCCATAATCTGGTTAGGTTTAAAAGACTCAATAAATATAGACATAGTAGCAATAAATATTATAACCATAAATATAGGATTAAATATTCTCAGGTCGAAAATTATATAGTCGGAATGAGGATTCTTAATAAGATATAAATGAGTAATGTAATTTTCACCTTAGAGGTGGTAATATGGTATAGAATTTACATAATATAAGAATTGTTTAAGTATGTATATGAATTCATTAAGAATGAGAACTCACATTAGGGAATCTTCAAGAAGATAAAAATTAGATTAAATTTAATAAATTAAATTATCTATATATGATCATAATTATACAGAAGTAAATTTATTAATTAAGATTAATAATAGTTTATTGATAATATATAGTTGATTCCAGAAATGAAATTAGATACTACTTTTTAAAATGGAAATACTTTTCTTATTATAGCAGCTTAATGTGGATGCATTGAAATTGTTCATGAGTTAATAAAGAGAGGTGCAGATATCAATATAAAAAATGTATGGTATTACTAAAGAAGGATGATGGCAATACAGCAGTTCATTTAGCCTTGGCATATGGTCATTACAAGATTGCAGATATGTTAATGGAAGCCGGAGGAAGTACTCACATTTTAAACAAAAAAGGATAAAATGCTTGGGGTATGTTATGATACTTAATATTATTTTATTATATAAATTATTTAATATAACAATGGATCAAGATTCCAATAAGAAACCTAAATTTATCAAAAATTATTAGTATATCTCTATTATTTATAATAGAAAAGCCAATCATACGAGTTAAAAGTTATAAGCATAAAATTTAAGTTCTCTAAAGTATGTTCTCTAAGAACTATAAAAAATAAAGAAAACTCCAAGTACATCTTTACATACTACTGCGAGTAAAAGAAATTAATAATCACAATACAAGGATAATATTGAAGTTTAAACTCCTTAAACTAGTTATCGTTCTAGATTATCATTAACAAAAAGAAATGAATGGATTGATTTAATTAATTAAAAATCATAACAAAATCTCCAATCTGATTAAATTTCAATTACAGAATATCGGTATTAATTAAAATGAACTTAGAACCAAAATTTAAATGGACTGTTTCTTTTAAAATGATTGGAAATAGCCATATTATAAACAAGAAAAAATAAAATAAATAAACTAAAAAATAAATTAATATTAGCCAAATGATGATATTAATTCATGGAAACAATTGGTTGATAAAAGATTACATCAAAGGATATCATGATTTAGTTAAAAACAATTTTGATAATTCACTAATCTTTAATATCTTTAAAATATTAGTGTTACAAAGCTTAACTAGCAGTAGGTCTTTATCCTGGTATATATTTCAGTAATTTCCTAATTATAGTTAATGTAAAAAAAATACTTTAGTAAATCTATAAAGTTTTCTTAATCATCTACATTACAAAATCTATCATTCAAATTTTTAGCTTTATATTCAGGAAACTCATGAAATAAATTGATATCAAAAGGAACCACTTTCTCAAAATATTTAAGATCTTCCTCAGAAAAAGATCCCATTATTTTGAGAATTTAAAATAATTGATCTCCTTCTGATTTTCCAATGAAAAAGGGTTCCAACAATGCTAATTCAGCCATGATACAACCAAAAGCCCAAATATCAATAGATTCTGTATAATTGGTCACACCCAATAATAATTCAGGAGCTCTATAAAATCTAGAAACTATATAAGGTGTATTGATAGCTGTTCCAGTCATTTCTTTAGCACTTCCAAAATCACATAACTTTAGAATTCCATCTTAAATCAAAACATTTTCACTATTACAATAAAATTAATATTTTACGGTTTTAAATCCCTATGTGCAATATGCTTTTTGTGAATCTGATCTAGACCTTACAACATTTAATAAAGGTAGTTTTTAAGAGTTTTAGGATCGAAATAATCCTTTCTTTTTTTATGATCTATTATTATGTTTTCTAAATTTTGATCCATAAATTCTAGTATAATATTTTGAACCATTTTATTGTCTTCACTTCTACTATAGAAAACATCCTTATTATATTATTTAATATACTATTAATTTAACTACATTAGGACAAGATTTTAGTTGCATCAATATATCACATTCTCTGCTTGAAATTTTGCCTACTTTTTACATTCTTTTTAAGGCTACTTTTTAGCGCCTTTTAATATCATATGCTTCAAAAACATAACCTTTGAATTAAGTTAAGATATCATACCGAAAGCTCCAGAACCAATAACCCTAGTGATTTCGTAGTTAGGTATACTAACATGATTTTCCATTTAAGAAATTTGTTATTTTACTCACTTAAAATAAAAGTTAAGAATTATGTTTTATTAATGCGCATTATTAAATTACTTTAAATAAATATATTTCTATAGTTATCTACTTTAAGCTCTAATGATATTTGTTGTGTTTATGTTGATAACTAAAACAAAATTGATCCTAAAATCTTAAATTATTAAAATATCGAATTTGATGACCAAATAACAATAGAATTTAGAGAAATAAATTCTTCTAATTTTAAACTAATGATAATCAGTATTAGTTGAAAGTGGATATAAAATATAGGCACAAAACATTTATTATTTGATGAAGAATTATAAAATAAAGGTTGTTTAATTAAAGAAACAATAAAATTTGAAATCAAATATAAATTCTTCCCTTAGTATCTAATTATAATATAAATAAAAATAAATAAAATGTCAAGATAGGCTCCTCCATCCTCTGGTTAAAAAGGTGATCCTAAAAGAGGTATTCCTCCTCCTCCTCCTTAAAAAGGACCAAAACCTTTTAATGCTGAAGATTATGCAAAACCACCTCATCTAACAAAAGAGGAAGTTTTGGAAGTAAAACAAGCATTTGATATTTTTGATAATGATGGATCTGGATCAATCGATCCNCAATGAAAAAGGGTTCCAATAATGCTAATTCAGCCATAATACAACCAAATGCCCAAATATCAATAGATTCAGTATAATTGGTAACACCCAACAATAATTCAGGCGCTCTATAAAATCTTGAAACAATATAAGGAGTATTCATAGTTGTTCCAGTTATTTCTTTAGCACTTCCAAAATCGCACAACTTTAGAATTCCATCCTGAATCAAAATATTTTCTCTATTTCTTTACAATCAATAATTTACGGTTTTAAATCTCTATGTGCAATACATTTTCTGTGAATCTAATCTAGACCTTTTAATATCTAATAGAGATAGTTTTTGAGAGTTTTAGAATCGAAATAATCTTTTCTTTTTTTATGATCTATAATAATGTTTTCTAAATTTTGATCCATAAATTCTAGTATGATATTTTATACCATTTTATTGTCTTCACTTCTGCTATAGAAAACATCCTTATTATTTTATATTATATACTAGCAATTTAATAACATTAGGACAAGCTTTTAGTTATATTAATATATCACATTCTCTGCTTGAAATTTTGCCAACTTTTTACATTCTTTTTAAGGCTACTTTTTAGTGACTTTTTGTATCAAAAGCTTCGAAAACATATCCTTTGAATTAATAGCAACACAATACCAAAAGCTCCAGAACCTATAACCCTAAGGATTTCATAATTAGGTATACTAACATGCTTTTCCATTTTAGAAATTAGTTATTTTACTAACTTAAAATAAAAGTTAAGAATTCATTAAATAAATAGGTTTCAATAATTATCTAATTTTAATTTGATTTTTTGATTGACATCTTATAGATAAATGATCTTAAAATCTCAAAATAGTAAAATATTGAATCTGAAAACTAAATAAAATAGAACCAAATTTACTTTATTACATTTAGAAGTCTTATCTATTGAGTCTTAAATTAATGATCATTAGCTATTACATTGATTAATAATATATATACCAAAAACTAATACTATCTATTTGATTAGGTATTATAAAATAAAGATGATTTAAATAAAAAGACAATAAAATTGAAATCAAATATAAATTCTTCCCTTAGTATCTAATTATAATATAAATAAAAATAAATAAAATGTCAAGATAGGCTCCATCCTCTGCTTAAAAAGTTGATCCTAAAAAAGCACTTCCTCCTCCTCCTCCTTAAAAAGGACCAAAACCTTTTAATGCTGAAGATTATGCAAAACCACCTCATCTAACAAAAGAGGAAGTTTTGGAAGTAAAACAAGCATTTGATATTTTTGATAATGATGGATCTGGATCAATCGACCCATAAGAATTAAGAGAAGCATTTGAAGCTTCAGGAATCAAAACTTACCACAATAAATTTATTTATTAAGTATTGGGAGAATTAGATACTGATAATAGTGGAGGAATTGATTTTGAAGAATTTTTACATTTAGCTACAGCAAAAGTTAGTGATAAAGATACTAGAGAGCAAATTCAAAAAGTCTTTAATTTATATGATTGGAATAAGGAAGGTAGTAATTATTAATTAATTTAGGCCGTATCACATGGGATGAATTAAAAAGAGTAGCATAAGATTTAGGAGAAGAAATGACTGATGAAGAGATCTAACATATGTTCAAAAAGGCTGATTTAGATGATGATGGTTTTGTTACTTTTGATGATTTTTACAATCTTATGACCCAAAAAGAATACGGAAAATAATGATATCAGAAAATGATAAACATATAAATAAAAAGTATATATTACATATTAATCATATATTTGAAAACGACTAGTATCTTTCTATGTACATTTACATTATCTCATTTTTAGCATTGTTTTTTTTTTATAACCTAAATCTTTCTAAATGATGTTAAGCTTTAAGTTGATATCCTAAGTATTATGTTTTGTATTCAACCTTAAATTAATAGTAATATATATTAATTTACAAAATTTAGTAAAAATGTAAGTAAACAATGCAACTGAAAAAAAGGTAATAGAGTTAAAGGAAGTATCTCTAAACCAAGAATAGATGAGATCAATTTTAAAACAATAATAAAATGATTTTCGATAATGGAGTGTTGAGAAAAGGAAATCTTAAATATTACAAAGAATCTCAGATATAAAGAAAGATAGGTTACTTAAATCAGATGGAACTGTGCATCATTCAGAAGATTTTAGAAAAGCAAATAAAGCTTTAGAGTTTTTCTAGCCTGAGTTCCCTATACTTAAATTTCCTGTAATAATTTCAACTTATGCTAGGAAGACACTGTTTTAAATACTTATGATAAGACTAAAAGATGGTTGAAAGAATTCGATTTTCCTAATAAAAAGTAATACTGGCAAGAGTTTAAGAAGAAAAACTTTAAACATTATTCTGGAAACCCTTTTAGTTATGCACCAGGAGTTCCTTCATATTTTGAGGAATTCAAAGCTTATCATCATATTGAACATGATGAGACTTAAGTTGAAAAATATCAACGACTTTAATAGTACAATATTTTATATCATGCAGGAAAAAAGTATTATATGTATAACCAACAAAAGTAGTTGGAGGTGAATTCAGTCGACCAATGTTTGATAGAACGCATGTTCATGTTGAATTAAATCCAATACATTAAGTTTAATATTTACCTAATCCTGTAACTGCAGATTCAACAGATTATAGATAATTAAGCAGATAATCAATACAATCAAAGTTGAATGATATGTAAAGAGTGAAACCCTTTACTTCGTGTAGTACTAGAAGTTAAATATTCTAATAAAAATACAAACCAATGAATGCAGAGAGTACTTTGTAAACAGCAAAAACAGTTAAAAAATCAGATGATGATGATTTTGATTTTTGATAAATATGTATTTATATNATGATGGTTTTGTTACTTTTGATGATTTTTACAATCTTATGACCCAAAAAGAATACGGAAAATAATGATATCAGAAAATGATAAACATATAAATAAAAAGTATATATTACATATTAATCATATATTTGAAAACGACTAGTATCTTTCTATGTACATTTTCATTATCTCATATTTTAACATTGTTTTTCTTTATAAATTTCTCTAACGGAGATATTTATCTAAGATGATATTGTAAGTATTATGTTCCATACATAATCTTTATTTAATATTAATATATATTAATTAACAAAATTTAGAAATATGTTAGGGAACAATGCAACTGAAAAAAAGGTAATAGAGTTAAAAGAAGTATCTCTAAACCAAGAATAGATTAGATCAATTTTAAAACAATAATAAAAAGATTTTCGATAATAGAGTATTGAGAAAAGGAAGTCTTTGATATTATAAAGAATCTAAGATATCAAAAAAGACAGATTACTAAAATCTGATGGAACAGTGCATCATTCAGAGGATTTCAGAAAAGCCAATAAAGCTTTAGAATATTTTTAGCCTGAATTACCTATACTTAAATTTCCTGTAATAATTTCCACTTATACTAGGAAGATACTGTTTTAAATACTTATGATAATACTAAAAGATGGTTGAAAGAATTCGATTTTCCTAATAAAAAATAATACTGGAAAGAGTTTAAAAGAAAAAACTTTAAACATTATCCTGGAAATCCATTTAGTTATGCACCTGGAGTTCCTTAATATTTTGAGGAATTCAAAGCTTATCATCATATTGAGCATGAAGAAACCTAAGTTGAAAAATATCAACGACTTTAATAGTACAATATATTATATCATGCAGGAAAAAAGTATTATATGTATAACCAACAAAAGTAGTTGGAGGTGAATTTAGTAGACCAATGTTCGATAGAACTCATGTTCATGTTGAATTAAACCCAATTCATTAAGTTTAATATTTACCTAATCCTGTAACAGCAGATTCAACTGATTATAGATAATTAAGCAGATAATCAATAAAATCAAAGTTGAATGATATTTAAAGAGTGAAACCATTTACTTCGTGTAGTACTAGAAGTTAGATATTCTAATAAAAATACAAACCAATGAATGCAGAGAGTAATTTGTAAACAGCAAAAACAGCTAAAAAATCAGATGATGATGATTTTGATTTTTGATAAATATGTATTTATAGATATAATCTCAAATATAGAGACCCTCTGGAATATTTCCTTTTTTTAAATATAATATTTTTTCTTTAGCTTTTCTAAAATCTTCTTGTGTAATTTTCATTCTTCTTTCTCTAAGTGCTAATAAACCTGCTTCTGTACACATAGCTTTAATATCAGCTCCAGATAATTCATCTTTTGCATTAATAAATTCATCTAAATTTGCATCCTAGATTAAAAATGAAATAAAAAACCTCTCCTAGATTCATTTTACTAGTGTGAATTTAAAAGATTTTCTTTTTATTTTTGACATCAGGTAATGGGAATTCTATTTTTCTATCAATACGTCCAGGTCTAATTAAAGCTGGATCAAGTGATTCAATTTTATTAGTTGCAAGAATTACTTTAACATCTGCTCTTGAATCAAAACCATCTAATTAATTTAATAATTCAAGCATAGTTCTTTAAATTTCTTTTTCACCTCCAGAATGTGAATCATATCTTTTAGTACCAACAGCATCAATTTCATCAATAAAAACTATACTAGGAGCATGCTCTTCAGCTACTCTAAATAATTCTCTAACTAATTTAGGACCATCTCCTTAATATTTTTATATTAATTCTGATCCTACAACTCTTAAAAATGTTGCTGATGTTTCATTTGCTACTGCTTTAGCCAACAATGTTTTTCCTGTTCCTGGTTCTCCATATAAAATAACTCCTTTTGGAGGTTTTATTCCCATATCTTCATAGATTTCAGGATGAGTTAGTGGAAGTTCAACAGCTTCTTTAATTTCTTAAATCTATTATTCTAGACCTCCTATATCTGCATATGATTCAAGTGGAGCTTTATCAACTTTCATCACATTAAGAAGTGGATCAATTTCATCTTGCATTATACCAACAACTGCATATGCTAATTTATAAATAAATAAAAATATTTACATCTTTAATTCAACAGAACAGAACAACCTGGCTCTAATTAATCTTTATCAACAAAACTCATAATTCCTGAATAACTTTCTGGACCAACAGAAGATGATACAATAGCATGATTTTCATTTACAAATTCTTCTAATGTTCCAACACTTTCAAATTAATTAGTAATTTTACATCATTGGTGTTCCTCTTAATTATTCTATCTTTTTCTACTCTTCTGATTCAGCTTAATCTTATTCTTTTAATGGCTTTAATCTTTATTAATTTTCAATAAATTCTTATTCTAAAAGTAAATAGTCTTTTATTCTTTCATTTTTTAATAGCTTTAATCTACATTTAGCTATTGGTGTTGCTATACTACTATTATTTTAAAATACCTGCTGGTAATTTTGATGCTTATTCAACTCCTTTTCTTAACTTTTTTCTTCCTACTCTTTAAGGGGGAGGAGGAGGTTTTTTTTATTAATCCTTGTTTTAATTGTTATTATTATCTTAATTATTTCCTCTTCCTTAATTTGGATTGAATGGATTAAATCCTTAACCATTTTGATTTCCCATAGTTTATATTTTTTAATTTAAATTATACACCAGTATTGATAATTTTATTCAAATAAATACTAATTTATATTTCATTTCTCAATATACAAATGTAAACATTCAAATAAATATAATAAGTATTCTAAATAATATGATCATTATTAACTAGTGATAATAGTATTTAAAATAATAAAAATATTAAACAATTAATAAAATTTGGTTAATGCAAAACTATGAAATTGGAATTCCGATTATTATTGAAGCATCTATTGGATTTGCTTGTTCTTTATTCTTCATACTTGATATTTCAATTCATTATAAAATGAAGCTATATCAATTGGAATTAGGAATATTATATACCAATATGCTGTAATCTATAAGTAAATCAATAATAATTGTTTTAAGTTACAATACTATTAATTCTTGACTTTAACAATTAAATGTGTGTTTGGACATTGTTTTTCGAGTAAAGCTTGACTCTTTCAAGTTATCTTTGGACTATTTTGATTCTACAAAAAAGTTGTTTACTCACTAGATACCCAATTGAAATTGCGTTAGAATATCTAAAAACTAATTAATTTACAGTATTAATTATTAAATCCAGCTCTAAGTTATAATTGCATTTGGATTACCAATAATTGCTTCTTCAATAATTTTTGTTAAATTAAATATATGTCAACTTGAAACCCTCACTTAAGTTTCAAGTAAATTATTTTGGGCAATATAATCCATTTTAACTATAATCTTTATAGGAATAATAGCATATCATATCATAAGAATACATTTAAATTGCAAGCTTGTATAAAATATAGATTAAATTTAGGTCAAATTATACTTAGAAATTTTATATTGTCCATTAATATTTATTTTTTCATTGCCATGGATTGTATATACAATATTCAATTTTGAATTAGATGATACTAATGATTTAAAAACACTTTAGGGTAAGAATGACAGTAATATTAAAAGGTTTATTTCTTTTGAAAAACTCTTAAATAATTTTAAGTACATTTCTTTTTGGATAAAATTCAGCCTTTTAAGTAGCATATCTTGAAAATGCATGTCCGATATTAAGAAAGACATACTTAGCAAAATATCATTTTGAAAAGAAGTATGAAATAAATAATTAAATTTAGAATAAATAATTCATAGATTTTAAATATTGAAATTAGTAATAATTTATGTACATAATTATTAATAAAATGATTATAAAATTTGTAATTTATTAAATAAATAATTAATGGAGTTAATTCAAGGTATTTTATCCTTGATTGGTAATATTGGTATAGTAGCATTAATGTTAACATTTGCAATTTTAGGATTATTGTACTGGTAACAGAACTCATTAATATATTTACCAGGTTTAAATATTTTATTAATTTACCAAGCATTTTAAGGATTACCCTAGAGTCCTAGTTAAAATATGAATGGACTTAGGAATCCATCAGATAGAAATCTTCAATATTAAGATGTAGAGATTGTAACTCTTGACAAATAATAATTGAAAGGATGGTTGATCAAATAGTAAAATAGTCATAATGTCCCTACCATAATTTTTTTTCATGAAAATGCTGGAAGTATGATACTAAAAATTATTATTTTATGAAGATATTGGAACTAGATTGCAATTTTTAGAATTCTATTTTAACTAAGTGAAATGCAACATATTGATTATTGCCTATAGAGGATATTCAGATAGTACAGGAAAACCATCTGAATAAGGATTAAAATTAGATGGAGAATCTATTATTAATTATTTATTCGATAGAGATGATATTGATCCAAATAAAATATTTGTACATGGTAAATCTTTGGGTGGAGCAGTGGCTATTCATGCAATGACTTAAAATATTGCAAGAGGCATCAGAGGTGTTATACTGGAAAATACTTTCACATCTATTGATGATATGGTGGATATTATTTTTCCTAAATTAAAACTATTTAAATCCTTTCTTCTAAAGAATCATTGGTTGTCTATTGAAAAAATTAGTTCAATAACTCAACCAATATTATTCATTTATTGTAAAATAATTGTAATTTTATAATTAGCTATGAAAGATGAAATTGTACCAGTCTAACATATGGCTGCTTTATAAAATGCAGCCTAAAAAGCTTAATTTATAAATAAGGTAATTTAAATTTTATATTAATAAGTTTGTAATTGAAGATGGAGATCATAATAGTAATTGGTCTATAGAACCAGAAAAATACTTTAATTCAATTTTAAGTTTCATCAATAAAGTTATTACATCATGATTATTATTATTTATATATATATTTAATGCAACAAAAATATTGTGATGAATGTGAGGAAACTAAAGCTAAGATTAATTGTAATTAATGTGGTCAAATTCTATGTGAATTATGCGATAAGAAAATTCATAATAAAGGAAAAAGAGTTTATCATTCTAGAGAACTGATTGAAACATCTGATTCTATTGAATCTAACAAAATTAAATAAGATGCTCATGTTATAAGACATGAACAACATAAAGAAAGATTTAAATAAATAAATAGCAACTTACCATCTGTTGATGTAGTTAATTTCAATCTTATTAATATTTAAACAGAAACACCTATGATTTTTTAAAATGAGTATATAATCATTTTATCTAAGTCTAAATTTAGCTAAAATTGAGGACCATTTATTCAAATAAGCAAATAAAGGAGATCTTATGATACATTTAAATGATTTTTAGAAATTTTTAAAATAGAATGAAATCTATAAAATTAATCAGTAAGAATCAATTAACATCTAGATCAAAAGATATCATCTAATAATTAGAGAAAGTTAAAATGATTAATGTTACTATAAGGAAATTTGGTGATAGTGATCCAATCTAATTTATTAGCCTTCAGTTAGATCACATTAGTTTATAATCATTATATTGGGTTTTATTAAATATTAGAAAAGATGAAATGACTCCAACTGATAAATTAGTAATGAGTAGAATTAAGGAATGTTATGGTTTGAAATTGAATATATAAGATTGGAATCATTATTTAGCTGGATTTTATAAATTATAAGATTCAAATGGATTAATTTAATTTAATGTAAAAAAATATAAATAAAACAAATGGATAGATGAAAAATGCATAATAAAAATGACTAAGTGTCCTATAGATTTAGTAAATAAATCTGAAAATAACAATGCCTCTCTATCTACTTCTCAACAAATTAATAATGAATAATTATTATTATTTACAATTGAAGATAATGTTAATTGGAAAATGATGGATGCTTAATAAATGAGTTCTACATATAAAAGTTAATGGAGATCATTTATTTAATTTTTAAAAGACTTTTTTGATACCAACCTTACTTTAAATACAAGTTAAAATACTTAGTCATTTGGAGATTTAAATTAATCAGATTATTAATCATAGACTTCAAAATAAAGTGGAACATAATCAGTACCAACTTAGAAAAATTAGGATAATTCTAAATGGATTCGAAGTGTTGAATCAGGATTACAAAATGTTTAGAAAAGTATGGAACAATATCATGATTAAAGTTACTCTTCAAATATTACATAAAAGTATTTTTAGTATTTTAACATCTAGAAAAAGAAGTAAAAAAAGTTAGATTAAACCACCAAAATCAATACAAAAGGCAATACCCGGAGGTAAATATGGTTGTGCATAACTTCTGAAATGTTGTGGTCCTTTAGAATTGAGAGTCTGTTCAATGGGAGTTTTATGTTTAATGATTTAGGAAGCTATTAATAGAAATGTCCTTATTTATTATAAAACATTATTAATCAAACCGAATACTAACATAGCTTTTGATTTCAATGATTTCTTAAATATTTTCGATGAACTTTAAGATTAATTCATTTTATAGAATATTTTAGGAAATGAAGAAATTTAATAGCTCTCTATTGATAAATAATAGTAATAGCATGAAAAATAGAATAAATTAAAGGCAGTTTAACAAGCTATTATTGATATATTGAATGAATATACTAAAGGTATTAGTTTAGCAAGATTACCCAAGATGATTTAACGTAAAATTTAATTTACTTTTGATTTACATGAATTAGGATTTACTAAATTGAAATGTTTAATCTAAGGAATTGATGGAATAAGTATAATAAATGATGGAACTACTTATGCCTCACTTATTTTAGATGAATATTATGATGATACTAATGATATAAAGTAAGAATAAGAAGATGATCAATAACTTTAATAAGTTAAAATTGATCTTAATTATTTCTAAAAACAATCATAATAATAATCATAGAATTCTTAACATTTATAACTTTAGCAATAATAAACATAATAATAATAATCTTAATAATAATAGTAACAATTATAATTTTTATCTCCAATTCATGCATCTGAATATTAATTAAAAATTGAAGTAAATATCTTCTTTATTAATAGTAAGCCTTAAAACAAATTCTAAATTAATATAGTAATGGTATTCCAGCTTTTTAATTGCTATAAATTCTTTAATTACATATACAAAATACATTTGAATATACATAATTTGGTTGTTCTACTTTTGAAGAATATATGGTTAAATATGCTGAGAATTACTGTGATGTGATGATTAAAATGAAAGGGTGTATAATATATCCAAAAGGATATTCATCTTTTAGATCCTCTATGCCATAGTAAAAAATGCAACTTGGAATTCATCATCAGAAATCCTAATCAACTACACTCCCTAGCTATGCTTAATAATAAAGTAATAGTAGTAGCTAAATAATTAAAGCAGACAGTAATTGTTTAATAATAATTTAGGCTTTTTAGCAGGTATGTAAAATCCTAGTTAAATGATTGGAGATGTATAATCTTAATCCCTAACATTTTAATCATTTCAAACCAATCCTTAAAATAAAGATTTTTTTATGATACAAGAAGAAAATAGTCATCATGAACTTGATGCTAATGTTAGATTTATCGAAGAACTATTAAAAGAATCAGATGATGTTGAATAAAAAAAACATAAAGTTTAAAGAAGTCATTAAACTCATTAAGACAGTAAATAATTTTAGAGTTTGGGATAATGGCCAATCTTAAATTCAAATGAAAAAAGATGTCATAATAAATACAATACTTATTAATATAGTCCATAATAAGACTTCTACTAGGGATAAAAAGTTTCTTTAGATCTTCATAGTTGGGATCAAGATAACTGATTATGTATATATATATATATATATATATATATTATAATCAATTAATAAATATAAAATAAAGAATAATAAAAATGATGACTACTATTAATTAAGTAAATGGAGGCTTTGGATGATCATTTGGTACTTCAAATATCATACCGCCATGTCTAAATGGAGCTAATTTATTTAGACTTTATTCTGCCAATTTTAGCCTTTTTAAAACAGGTTCAGATATTATTTGATGTTTTTAATGATTTTTAATCTATAACATAGATGGTAAACAATAAGACAATTTCATTAAATTATCTGGATCAGATTCTTATAAATACTCAAATAACCTTAAATTATAAGGAATTTATACCAACATTGGTGTAATTTTTAATAAACTTCTTATTCTATAGAATCCAAATTATAATGTTTATTAAATATCTTTTCTATTGTAATTTTAATTCTATGTCTTATTTCATTCATCTCAATTAAATCATCCTCAGATATCAATTCATTTTAAACTTCTATTTTACCTTAACATACAGGAAGGATTATTTCCTTTTTCTCTTTATTTCCAAATTAATCAGTGCTATCAATAATAAATCCTTAAAGAGTTGTATTTAAACTTAACACTTTTTCTTATATAAATGCATATATGAAAATATTATTATTCATAATTGAAACCCTATCTATTCTTGCCTTAAATTAGGCTTTCTAAAGTTCATTTTAAACAAAAACTTCTGCATTGTTAAAACAATCAAAATAATCATCACAAGTTAGATTGCTATCAGGAATTTTGAGAATTTAGAGTTTCAAAAATGAATAAGGAAATAGATCTCCTTTAGTTTTAAGAAGAATATGATTGGCTGAATCAATTATTTATTATTTTAATTCTTCTTATTCTGGACATCTATTTTAACTTCTTATTATTGTATGAATAATAATGTTTACTTTTAATATATTAGGAGATGTTTAAATGTAAGATCTAATTTGTACAATAATTTAAAAACCTGCATAATGGACATCGTGGCGTTGTACATAATGATTTATACATACAATCAAAACAATACGTATGTCCACATGTTAAAGTAACTGGCTATCTAAATTATTAACAACAAATAGAACAGCGTAATAATTTATCAATCAGATACTAATCAAACATTAGCTATGCTAATAATATTATACAAATTATTATTAATTAGGTTTAAATTGTTTACAAATTATCAACTTTTGTTTTAACTTTATTTTTGTTTCATTCAATTGAAATCTTTTTATTTAAACAATATCTTGTATTTATAAATAGAATGCTATCGTATAAGATTATATAATAAACTTATGCTTTAATAAAATAATTAAAATGTTTAGTTTTAAGCCTGTGAAATGGTTTTCATCTCTACTTTTATCGAAGGTAATAATAATAAATTCAATTTTATTAGTTCCTCAAACCATATATTAAAAATTTTGAATCTCAAAATATCGATGTTTAAATTTTAGATGGAGAAATTTGTTTGAAATAATTAGAGTTGAGAAATGATGTATTGATGCAATTTGGTATTGATATAGAGGTTATTGATTCATCTTTTGGTGAGGTTAAATTAATTATTCCATGGAACAACTTGAAAACAAAAGAAATTAGTGTAGAGATTACTAATGCAAAAATTGTTCTATCTAATAAAATTGAAATGAGTGATTTTAATAAAGAATAATACAAAGAACATCTAGAAAAACTAAAACGAGAAATATTAGCTAAATTTGATGAAACTGTTTAAAAAGAAGATGCATTTTCAAATGGTTAATCAGGAAATAACTTTTTTGCAGATTTTGCTATTAAAATATTTGAAAAGTTTGTTCTCAAAATCAATAATCTAGACATTGTATTCATTTATCAAATCAATAATTATGAAATTGTAAAATTTGGATTTGGGTTTTAAAGTTTATTAATCAATTAAGATGATATTAAACCAAAGAAAGATGAAATTCGAAAAAAGATTGTTGCAGATAATATCTTTTTATTATTTGAAGTATTTGATAATGTTCTTCCTTCTTAATTATAACCAGAATCCTTCATTCCAGATTAAAATTAATCAAAGTAAGAAGAAAAAAAAGCAGTACATATTCTTAAGAAACTTGCTCTTAAAATAGAATTCAGTTTAGTTTTTTCTGAACAATTAGAAATAGAATTAAAAATAGCAACAATTTCTGATGTTCTTATATATTTAAAACAAAGACAAATTCGATTATTATTAAGAGCAATGCAAGATATAGCTAATCATCGTAATGATAGACCCAAAGAAAAACCAAAATATGGAAAAACTGCAAAAAATTGGTGGATTTACATAATTAGAAGAATTATTGAAAAAGAATATATTAGAACAAAAGTTAGAAAATAGGGAATAACTAATTATTTTAAAGTCTAATAATATATTGAATTATATACAAAAAAAATGCTAAAATAGCATGATGCAAAGAGAGACAATAAACTTATGGGAGATTTTGAATAAAAAAATACTGTTTCTTAAATTTTAATTTTAAGAAGTATTGCAATTGACAAAATTCTTGAGATGAGAAATATTTTGAGATCTAATAATCCCAAAGATCAAAACAGTTAAAAAGAAGCTCAAGGCTGGTTTAAGAGATTTTAAACTGATTTTAATATGGAACATGCTAGTAATCTAAAATTTAGTAGAAATGTGATTGATACATATTTATCTTTTATGAAAGAAAAGGAAAGCAATACTAGAATTTCTATTATTTTAGATGTCAAAAAAATAAATCTATTAATTTAAGAAAATCAAATTTTACAATAATTAAGAAATCTACATTAATAAGTTAATATATTTAAATAAGAATTGAATTAAAAAAAGTCTCTTTAGACAAAAGTATTAGATCATATAAAAAATAATTTTTTATAAAAAATAACTAAAGTAACAGTCAAATCATCTGAAATTAATAAATAAGAAGATTGGAAATTAGATGAATTATTGAAGGAAAAAATTTTAATAAATTTAGAAATAACAGAAACGAAATTAGAATTAGTAAAATAGGGTTAATTTAAATAATTGGTAAAAGCATAAATTTAAAAATTGATTTTATTAGATACTAATAAATTTAATAGTCATTATTTGAAAATAGTTGAAATATCAGAAGGAATTAAAGTATTAATGAGTTCAGAATAATTGGAAAGATAAAAGAAAATCCTTGATTTAGATCCTTTAGAGAAGACAATATAAGTTTATTTAGATATTTAGGTGGGTCCATTAAGTATTACACTTTGTAAACCACTTTATGAAAGATTAATTTCATTACAAAATTTAATATTTTTTGATAAATCTACTGTTTAGAAGGATACAGAAGAACATTCAAAGTATTTTGACAATTTTTTAATATTAACAAAAAGAGTTTAATCTAATACTAATGTTTCTTTTTCAATAAGAAGAATAAATATTTACTTACCACTTTAATATTAGATAAAGACATAAATGTTATTAATACATTTGAAATAAATAAAAATATTTAAAAGAGAACATGAGAATAGTGTAGTTAATATATATCCTGCGGAAAATTCAAATGGATAAGTTAGTTAATATTTAAAGGATTTAAAAACTAGGTAAACAGTAAATAGAGTAGCTTAATAAAGTCAAAATTAAGAGGAAAATTAAAATTTAAAACCTGTTTATTTTTCAGTGGATTGTCTTAGATTAGCTTTTGTTTAAGATTATGATTGGGAAAATAAGGAAAATATTTTTAAAATATAATATCGTAAATTAAGGAAAAATGAATAATAAAATGGTGATCCTGGAATAGAAACAATTATAGAAACACTTCCAATAAAAATAAGAATGGAATAATCTTAAAAGATGATTACATTAGAATCAAATAAAGCAAAGAGTAAAAGTAAAATGATATTTAAAAAAAAAATATATCCAAAAACATCAATGATTACAATTTAATTACCATTTTTGGATTTTAAACTATCAACAAAGCATTTATATTTAATTTTATAATTAGTATCAATTTGGTAAGCAAAAGGTTATGATTTTTATGATGTAATTGAGAGTAAGGTTTAAAAATAAGAACATAAATAATAGTAATAATATATAAATGAAGATTGTTAATAATAATTGAGAGAATATATGATAAGTTCTTTGCAGATTGATATGGAAGGTCTTTAATTATCAGTAACAGTAAATACATAAGAATTTTTAGAAAAATTTGGGAAAGTTAGTTGTCATGAGAATCGTTTGTTTTCATTTTACTATTTAAATTTAAGCTATTTAAAGGAGGTGAAATTTTATGATAGTATTCAGCATTTAGCAATACAAGAATTAGCTTTATAAAATATAAATTGTCATTCTTATAAATTGGATGATCCTTTAAAGGTATTGGCTAAATAATTATTAAAACATTCAGATTCTGAAAAAGAATAAAGAAAATCAAGTTTTGGTGAAGATTTAGAAAGAGTGATGAATTAATAATCAGAAATACAATAGGTAGTAAATTCAAAATAAAATGAAATCAAATTAAACATAAAGAATTCTAATGATATGATTCATTAACCCTAATAATAAAATGAAGATGATGAAAGAAATAAGAAAATTTATGAAATTCCTGCTGATGAATTATAAGAAGCTGAAATACCTTAAACTATATTTTCTTAGAAGAAAGGTCAATTTGACATAACTTCTCCAAAACATTCATTTTTAGATAATAATTATGAAGAGGAATTTGAAAGTGAACTTTACATAAAGGAATTCTTTATGGATAAGTAATGTTAAAAATGTAAAGAATAACATCGATTATTGTTAACTTTTATAAAGGTTTAAGATGATTTAGGTCCAGATGTTTATTTTTTATAAACAAGTGATTCATAGAGATCTAGAGTAGTTGTAAATTTAAAATAATTGAATCTGATTTTAGATCCAGATATAATTACATAAATGAGATTAATATTTGATATAGGAAATTTGGCAGCTGAGATTAAATAATAATAATTTACGAAATGGATGAGAGAAAATGGATTTTGGCCAGATTTTAATGAAGTTGATTAAAAATAATAGTCTGAAACATAAACATAGACTACAATAACAAGTGATTTATTTTAAGAAACAAGTAGAATAGAATTATAAATAAATTAGATAGTTCTGATGTTAAATTACAATGATTAAGTGGTTTATTTAATGAAAATGAAATTCATAGAGACATAAATATCTAGTAGTTAATTATTTAAAAATGTAAATATTAAGATGCAATAAGTTAAACTTTTTGATACAGCTAAGATAAGTGGAATACATAGAACAATGTTAGAAGATTATGATGATTAGAATGGAAATGAAATATAATGTTAGATTTAGATATGCAATAATCCAGATTTAATAAGAATAAGGAAATACGCTACTTATTGTGGAGTTAGAATATAGAGAGCAAAGATTGTATTTTTAAAAAGGAATACCAATGAGATTTAGTATTATTTAAGAAAGGTGCTTATAAAATCATTTTCAAGTACATTGACAAAGGAAGACAGAAATTATCTATTAAAGGAAACTGAAATATAAAATTAAAGTTATACAACATTACCAAAAGAAGTTTAAGTAGATTCGGAATTTGGATTTAGATTTTCATTGGTTGCTTTGGATTCATTGGGAATAGGTTATAGAAGTTCCTTATCAAATGAGGCATTGTATATCTAATTTAAAAAGGTTGGTTATTGGTTCAGTGGTATATGGGGATAGAAGTATGACAACTTAATTAAAACAGGATAATTTGATGATGAAATAGAAGAATAATAAAACATTTCTGAGAATTTTGTAGAAGTTAAAAATTCTAAAGAACCAACTATAGGAGAGGAGATATTTGAAGATATATATAATTAATCATAATAAGAAGAAGAAAACTTAGATTAGAGGATTAGATAAATTGTATATGTCTGGGGATTGGAAATACGTTGTTCTCCTGGTACAGATGTTAATGATTTATTTGTTAAAGCTCCAGAAGATAAAGTGTCTTTATAATTATTTATAGATTTTTGTGATGAGACACCAGATAAATTATTTTGTTTTTAAGATGTAAAACCCATGAGAAGTATATTATTAACAATATCATTTAGTTACTATTGACATTTAAAAATTAAATATTTATGCATATGATCCTGATTATTGTACTATTTGCAAATTCTTTATGGATAATTTAGGAGAATAACCTTAAACTATTGTAGGTAAATATGACTATAATGAATCAAATGAGAATATTTGGATGGTTTTAGATATCAATATAAATAAAGCTATTGCTAAATTCTTTAAAGGAAATAGAGATGAATGTAGAAAACATTATGATTTAAAAAGAATACCTCAAGATTAATTGGTTAATAATCTATTATATAAGAATCCTGCATCTATAGCTATTGCTAAATTAGAAACTTTAAATTATTAATTTATGATGAGAGAAAATGGAGGTAAATTTATGAAACTTAGTGTTCAATAATTAACACTTTCAGATTTTAGGAAATCATCAACTATGAAACATTCAAAGGAAATTCTATTTTCACTTATTGGAGATTAATTTAAAGGAGATGAAGATTAATCTATGTCTGGTGAAAAATAAGAAGATTTCAATAAAGTATAAGTTAATTGTAATGATGAACTTGAAATTGAATAAGTCGATCCTATATAAAGTGATAAAGAAAAAGAAAAAAAATAATCAAATATTATAGAATAATAGGTACCTAAGGCAGCATTGGATTTAAAAGATATATAAATAGATTAAGAATTATAATAGTAAAAATCATCAACATAAAGCAGGAAGAATAAAAACTTAACTAAATGGTAAAGGTTTGTCAATTTTTTTACACTTTGTTGTAGAAAATAATAAGATAAGGGAGGGGGAAATGGATCAAAAAGTGGGAATAAAAGTTCTCAAGAAAATGTATAAAATGAAAAAGAAAATCTATAGCAAATATAAGCTAAATTAGATTAATTGCTTGAATATAATCCAGAACCTATGTAAAAAAGAAGATGGATAAATTTCAGAGAAAAGCAAGTTTTACCAATTACTATTGAAAATAATAATAATTCTGATGGTAAGGATGATTATTATTATTACTTTAACGATGATAATCATGATATTAACTATCAAAAACTAAATTTTTAATCAAGACCATAAAAATAATAAAAAGAAGATTAATAAAAATAAGATTTATATTTTATTATGAAAACTAAACCAGATGGAGAAAAACTTATAAAAATTAAACTTGAAAATAAAAATATAATTTTATTGATTGATTTTCTAGTAGAAGTTGTTTAATTCTTTAGATAACCATATAATGGAAGTGACAAATAGCCTTATTAAAGAAATCCTCATTTCAATAATTATCCACCTATGGTAATGGAAATAAATGTTGTAAATGTTTGGGCAATTGTTTTAGGCGATTTAGAAAAAGAAACTTTTGAAAAATCGAAATCTATAGGAATTCTTTTAGATTGTAATTACTCTTAAACTTGGTTAGGTGATAGTTGGTTTGGACCTGGAAGTTGTGAAAAAAATATTGAAGCAATTTTAAAGAAATTATATATATTTTAGACAAATCACATTATAAATCTTAAATAGGATGAATAATCAAAAAAGTCATTTGAAAGATCACCTCATCCTGCTTTAAGAAGTTTACTAGAACCTTTTAAAGTTTGTATAAAAATGAAATATTCTGTTGATTTTTATAGAAATGCTAATTAAGAAATGATTACAGAAGAAGGTATTTAAGTTAAAGAATATTATACAGATTATGAATTTAAGAATAAGAATAAGAATAAAAATATTAATTTTTAATCTAAAAATGAATGGGAAATAAGTTTAATTAATTCTACAAGATTAAAAAATAATTTCAGTCTTTCAATAAGAGATATAGCTGAATTATAACAAATTATAAATATATTTTCTGCCAGGAAATCTCCTGAAGATAAATATTAATTTGTAAGAAAACCATAACCACAAGATCCTTTTATTGATGATTGCATTAATACAAAGAAAATTAGTATTGAAATGTTAAAAATTTAAATATTAAAGAATAAAGATGGAGTTAAAGCTGCATAATTTGAATTATAAAAATTGAGAATGTCTGATTTTCAAGATAACAAAAAAAAATAATTAAATTTATTGGCTTGTATTTCATTAGACTATTTTAATAAAAGGAAAATGGATTTTGAGCCTTTTCTTGAACCTTGGAAATTTACTGTTACAACAATATCATAAATAGAAAAACCACCTGAAAACAGAGCCATAGATAGAGATTCAAATAAAATAACAATAGCAAATCATATCGAGAAGGAATTAAAAGGAGAAGAAGTGCCTTATTATCTTAAAGATCATACTAATTCATTAAATATAAATATCACACCAGCTTTAGTAGAAGTAGCAATGGAAGCTTTGAAGATTTATAATAAAAAAATGGAAGATGAAGAACCATACAAAATATTTAATAGATGCGGATATGCATTAGAAATAAGAGATATAAAGAAGGATCAACATATAAGAACTATATTTGAAGATTAAGAATGTACATATAATACTTAAAAAGAATTATGGGCAAATAATTTTAAAAAACACAAATCAGATTAATAATAAATGTTATTAAATTTAGTGGTTTTGAAACCAAATAATTATAAAGAAAGAGATGATGAAGAAGATGAAATTAAAATAGTTGAAAATGTACATAATAATAACATGAGAAGAACAACTTTAGATATTCAAAATAAAAGTATTTCATAAAAATAGTTTATGCAATAGACTCAAATAATATCTTAAAATTAATTGTCTAATATAAATTAATCTTAATATAATAATAAAAGTAAAAGTTAATTTAGATTAAAGAATATTAGTAATTATAAAACTATTAAGTATGTAAACTTTGATTTTGTTGGCAAGAAATTCTATCCTTTAATTAGATAACACAAAAATGAGTAATAAGATCTCCATAGTAATAAAAAAGGAACTTTTGATGCATTTAAAACAAATATCGATAAAATTACAGGAGTTTTCTTAGCTGACACAAAGAAGATAAATGAAGAGAGAAATATTTATATACAAGTCAATGTTAATATCAATCCTTAGAATGGTTCTAAAGAAATTTAAATACAAAGTACTGTGAAAATATATAATTACTTAAGTACTTCAATTGAATTAGGTTTTTAAGTAAATGGTTAAATGAAAGAAACAACTTCAGTTAAATTAGAACCTAAATAAATATATATTGTTCCATTAGAGTTTTTGGAAAATAAAACCGAAGTTAGATTTACTCCTGAGAAAATATAAAATCGTTAATAAGATGAATAATTAGAAAGAAAGTATTATTAATTAGATACATTATTATGTGATTAATAATCTTTAGGAGAATTTGAAGTTGATAAAGATAATTCAATTGTTGAAGTTTTAGAGTAAGCAACTTAAATTGTTACTTCTTAAGGAAAATCAAATCCAGTAATTAAATCAGAGTTTAAATAAATTCATGATCCATTAAACTATAAATATGATCACATTATAACTTCAATGAAAAGCAATATCAAAAGAAACAACTTTTACTTTGTTATTAATTGTGTGAAAATAAAAAATTAGATTACTAATTAAAGAAAAGCTATGATAAATTTTAATGAAATAGGTGAGTAAAAATAAAGTGAAGATAATAATGATGTTTGTTATGAAACTTATTTGATTTGTTATCCTATTTTTAAATTTACAAATGCCACTGTTAGAGACATTAATATACATTATGGAGTCTTTTCCTCAAATAAATAATAATCTGAAAAATAATTACAATGTTTTCCAGTTTAACCAGATTAACATTTTTATTGTGAAAACTTAGATTATCATGATGATATTGAGGTTTAATATTCGATTGAAAATTAAAATGGATCTTAAGGAGTTGATGTTTAAAGTGAAGATTCATTTAGAACTAAACCTTTTAAAATATTTAATAGAGGGTTTGGATTAGGAGAAGAGAATAAATTTTAAATAAAATTTAAATAATAAAAAGGCAATGATTAATATTTGACTGTATTAATAAAAAAAAGATCAACTAAATCAAGAGAATTAGTGTTATATTGTCCATATTTAATATTTAATGAAACAAATAAACTATTGATATATAGAGAATATGGTTTGACTTAGGATATTCTTTCAGATGATATGATTTATTATTAAAACTTTAGTAAAGCATTTTAGAAAAATAAATAAAAGAAAGAAATTGAGTAACATTCTTAATATCATAATTTACATTAATTTGCTACAAGCACTAATATGAATAAAATTTAAGTTGCTATAGGATAAATAAATGATTAGCAATAAGTATAAGAAATTTCAAAATGGAGCAATCCAGTTAGTTTATAAAATAGTAATGTTTTAGAAATAATAGGAAGAACTGACATATTAAAGAAAGATCATGAGTAATTGTAATTAAATAATGGTAAAAAGAGAACTAGTGCAGATGCCAAAGGAAAATTTGAATTTGGTATGGCAATAACTAGTGGTCCTGGATCATTTCATAGAAGCAAATTAATTACAATAACTCCTAGGTTTATAGTTCATAATGAAACATAATATAATATAGCTATGGCTTAAGTAGATACAGAATATAGAGATAATAATTTATCAAGATTAAAACCAGGAGATTGGAAATATTTTAGTTGGTCAAACATAAAGAAACCTGCTTTAGCGATGATTTCTTTTTATTAAGAATCTACTGGTTTAATATCAGGTTGGAGTGGATATTTTAAACTTTAAGTTTAGGAAATCTCTTTAAAAATTCCTAGAATTAAATCTATTATAAATAATAATAATAATGATTACTAATAACTTTATGTTTTATAGAAAGTCAATATTACTTTGATGGATGATTTAATTCTTTTAATTAGATTTATATCAGAAGATCCTATAATACCACCATATTACATAGAAAATCTAACAAAATATGAAATTACCTATAAATAATAACCATCTAGTTAGGCTTAAAAATATAAATTAAATTAGGCGAATCCAATGATTTAAAATAATGAAATTAATAGAGGTATTCATTAAGTAATTGCATCTAATCCTATTGGTTCTCAAGATCCAGTGGATTCTTAAGATTAAGAATTAATATAATTTTCTGCAGGGGGAAATGAAGTTACTTATTTATAACCTGGAGAAAGAGTAGCATTTACTTGGGATCATTGGATTGATGATAAAGAACATGTTTTAGAAGTTGAAATTGAAGGTTAAACAGAAAAATATGAAATTGATAAAATTTAAAATTTCTAACCACTTACTTTACCAGGTTAATCATAAAAGAGAAAAAAGTTAGTAAATAAAAAATATCTTTATAAATAAGGAAATATTTTTATTAAAGATTTGGATAAACCTAAAGAATATTATTGCACACTAAATGTTTTGAAATAAAAATTTAATGTATATAATCAGGACAGGAATTAACATGAATCATATTATTTATAGGGAGCAAAGGTAGATGAGAGTAAAGATAATGAATTTGTTCTAAAAATTAACCCTGAAAAAATGTTATCTAAAAATTTACATTTTTAAACTAAAACTGTTGATGAAGCAAATTAATGGGTAGAATATTTATGGAGAGCTATTTTAATTGATAAACCTGAAATGGTAGAGTTAAAAATTGAACCTTCTAATTAAACTAAAGTAGTCACATTTTATTAAAACAAATCAAATGATAGAGCAGATCCTTAAAAGGAAGGATTAGAAATTTAACCAGAAAAAGATGATGATTCATAACGTTAATAATTCACTTGTTATAAAATATCATTAAGCAATTGTGTAAGTATTTCTATTATTGATGAAACTCCAAAAGAAATTTTGTAAATTTGTTTTAAAAACATTTAAGCAGAATATATTTTGATAGAAGAGATTTAGAAGGATATATAATTAAGATCAAATCAAGATGAAGATGATAATATAAATTTTTTACCAGAAAAAGAAAAACCATAAATTAAATAAATAAAAGAACATATAAATTTATCAATAGATTTAATTATAATCAATAATTAAATAATAAATTCATAATTCCCTGTCTTATTGGCTCCTAATAAAAAAAAGATATTTGGAAATCAATAACCATTTTTTGTATTGACCACTTATAGAAAAGATTAATCTTATATTAAAAAACCAAATGCTATTTTAAATAATGCAAGTAGAGTTAATGTTAAAAATGAATCAAATGTTCAAGCAAACTAAGTTTAAATTAATGATCAATAATAAAATTAGTCAAAATTTAAGATATCATATATTCATACATTACAAATGTTTACTGATACATTGGAAATTAGACTAGACCATTAAATCTTGGATTAAATAATACAGTATTATAATTTGATAGCAGCAATAATTTGGGATAGTAATTATAGTGATGTTTAATAGCAAAGCAATAGTTAATTTGGATTAGGATCTTTATAAAAGAAATAAGAAGAATAATTAAAGAAAATAAAATAACATAGTATAAGTAAGATTTATCTAAAGAATTTAATGTTAGAACCTATAGATATATGTTTTACCTTAAAGTAACTATAAATATAATACTTAGATCATCTCCTGGACATGTTATGAATTCATCTTCAATAGGAGTAATAGCTGATTTAGGATTAACATTAGCATCAATTGATAGTGCAAAAATTAGATTAAATGCATTTAAGACTCAACATATATTTGGTTCAAGTAATGAAATTATAGGAAGAATATCTAAACATTACAAAGGGTATGTTTATCATAAAATGTTTTTAGATAATTTTTAACATAGATCTATAAATTGTTAGGATCATTTGAAATATTTGGAAATCCTGTTTCTTTAATTTCAAATCTAGGAACTGGTGTAATTGATATGTTTTATGAACCTATTTATGCTTTAGTAACAGGTAAAAGTGGATACAAAGTTGGAGAAAAATTCTTTACAGGAGCAGTAACTTTGATACACACTTCAATTACAGGAGTTTATAAAACAGTTAATACAATTATTGGCACAATCATGAAGATTCTTGATTAAATGACTTTAGATAAAAAATATATGTCTGAGAGAAGTAATAGATTAAATAGAGCAATTAAAAATTTTAGAGAAGGTTTGATTATTGGATTTACAAATTTTGGAAAGATTTTATTTTAAACTATTATAGGAGTTTTAGAAAGACCAATAACTGGAATTAATGATGGTGGATTCTTAGGTTTTTTGCTCGGAATTTATTAAGGAATTATGGGAATTATTATTAAGCCTACTGTAGGAATATACGATTTATTAATCACCATTATTGAAGGCATAAAGAATACAGCAATATATGAAGAACATATTATGGATACTCGATATAGACCACCAAGAATCTTTGGAGATAACAATTAATTGATACCTTTCAATTTTAAGCATGCAATTGGAACTGATATTATAAGGAGATATAAATTGAAAGTTATTGATGGAGAAAGTATTATCTTCTTTGATCAACTTAATATATCTGATGGAGATAAAAAAAAGTAGGAAGCATAGATTGTGCTGACAGACTCAAGAATTGTTTATGTTTTAGTAATATTTTAAATTAATAAATTTAGTCTCATTCATCTATACATTGTGATAAGATAATGATTTACAAAATTAAATCAATAAAATATAATGCTGATTCTAAGCTACTAGATTTTAAGCTTCATACACCTGTTAGAAAATCTTGGTTTTAAGCAAATTCAACAAAATATACTTTAAAATATGAAAGCAAAATCAAAGCAATAAAATTGGCTGAACAAATTTAGAAATCTTTTAAAGATAAATACAATATTAAATTTTAAAATTTTGAGGATGATGTTATTGATAAAAAATGATGACTTTTTTTTAAATGTGTAGAAATATCATTTAAATTTATTTTGTATAATTTACATAACTTTTTTTGATAAATTTCGCTTTTTGATAGAAGTAATATATCGATGTTTTAATGCATCCTTTACACTAATTTTTGTATTTGGATCATATTATAACATTTTTTATAAGGAATCTATTTCATCACCATTTATTTTTAGTATTTCTTTAGATAAATTTTTTGGTTATCTTTTTTCGAATTAAACAATTTAAGGCAGGTAACTAGGACAATTATATTCATTAGGATTACCAAATATGTTAATCATATTCGATAATATTTTCATTTCACTATCATCTAAAAATAGAGGCTATTTAAGGTGTAATTCAGAAAATACACTTTCTATTTTCCAAAATCAAGAGCAAGATAATATTTTTGTGAATTGAAATANTTTATTTTAAACTATTATAGGAGTTTTAGAAAGACCAATAACTGGAATTAATGATGGTGGATTCTTAGGTTTTTTGCTCGGAATTTATTAAGGAATTATGGGAATTATTATTAAGCCTACTGTAGGAATATACGATTTATTAATCACCATTATTGAAGGCATAAAGAATACAGCAATATATGAAGAACATATTATGGATACTCGATATAGACCACCAAGAATCTTTGGAGATAACAATTAATTGATACCTTTCAATTTTAAGCATGCAATTGGAACTGATATTATAAGGAGATATAAATTGAAAGTTATTGATGGAGAAAGTATTATCTTCTTTGATCAACTTAATATATCTGATGGAGATAAAAAAAAGTAGGAAGCATAGATTGTGCTGACAGACTCAAGAATTGTTTATGTTTTAGTAATATTTTAAATTAATAAATTTAGTCTCATTCATCTATACATTGTGATAAGATAATGATTTACAAAATTAAATCAATAAAATATAATGCTGATTCTAAGCTACTAGATTTTAAGCTTCATACACCTGTTAGAAAATCTTGGTTTTAAGCAAATTCAACAAAATATACTTTAAAATATGAAAGCAAAATCAAAGCAATAAAATTGGCTGAACAAATTTAGAAATCTTTTAAAGATAAATACAATATTAAATTTTAAAATTTTGAGGATGATGTTATTGATAAAAAATGATGACTTTTTTTTAAATGTGTAGAAATATCATTTAAATTTATTTTGTATAATTTACATAACTTTTTTTGATAAATTTCGCTTTTTGATAGAAGTAATATATCGATGTTTTAATGCATCCTTTACACTAATTTTTGTATTTGGATCATATTATAACATTTTTTATAAGGAATCTATTTCATCACCATTTATTTTTAGTATTTCTTTAGATAAATTTTTTGGTTATCTTTTTTCGAATTAAACAATTTAAGGCAGGTAACTAGGACAATTATATTCATTAGGATTACCAAATATGTTAATCATATTCGATAATATTTTCATTTCACTATCATCTAAAAATAGAGGCTATTTAAGGTGTAATTCAGAAAATACACTTTCTATTTTCCAAAATCAAGAGCAAGATAATATTTTTGTGAATTGAAATAGAGTTCGGAAAATCTATATTACATAGTACATGTTTAAGTTTTCATATGTTTATCTTTCCATAATCTAGCTAAACCAGTATATCTTCCCATAATCTAGCTAAAACCAAAGTTTGTAATTTTAAAAATTCCATCTTTTGTAATTAAAACATTTTCAGGCTTAAAATCTCTATGCATTAACATTTTAGTGTCAACTATCTCAAATCCTTTTTAATCCATTCAAAAATTCTATTGCGCATAGATTTTTTCCAACTTACACGGATAAATCTTACCATAAGCTCCTTCTAATAATTTCCTTATTTTAGTTTACTAATCATGCTAAACAATTATCATATATTTTTAAAATATTTGATAATAATTTATTCAGTTCATTTACAATTTTTAACTTTGAATATTATATGTCGATTTTATTATATATCAATTATTCAATTATTTTTTTAAATCTGTTAAAGGAACATATCTAACTCCTAAGACATTTTAGATATTAAGTTTTCCATTTGCATCTTTATCGATAACTTAGAAAACTTGATTTCCTTTTCCAACTGGAATGACCATTCTGCCTCCTTTATCCAATTAATCTAACAATTTTTAAGGTATAGTTTCTGCTGCTGCACCAACATGTATTGCTTGATAAGGACCTTCTTATTCATATCCTAATCTTCCATCTCCTTTTATAATTTAAATCTGCTTATCCTTTAACTATTAATTATAGGAGCTATGAATTGTAATTTCAATTTACATGTTTAAATTTTTAAGAGATTTTTCAACTAACTCTGGAACATGTTCCACTCCAATTACTTTCGATTATTATGATTTCATCATTAAAAACATTGCAGCACATAAATATCCACTGCCTGAACCAATATCAAGGGCTCTTACTCCATTTTATAGATGATCTTTAAGTAATTCCTATATTAAATTATAATATACTAAAGAATAAGCATGCATATGAGGAGCTGATATTGTAGCATTAAAACCAATTTATAAAGGATAATCTTCATATGCATACATTTTATCTGATTCATCTACAAATTATATACGATCTACAGACAAGAAAACCTATTTCACAATTTCAGATCTAATAACTCCTTCTTTAAATAAATTTTGCACTAATTTTTCTAGTTTATTATTCATTTAATTTATGGACATCGAATTTTAGATCAAAGAAAATAAGATTGCTATACTTATAATAGGAATGGCAGGAACAGGCAAAACTACATTTGTTTAGGTTAGAAATCAACCATAAATGTTAGCAATTAAGCAAACAATTATAAAATGAAAAGCCTACATTAATTAATCTTGATCCTGCTGTTTATTCATTACCTTATGAACCTGAAGAAGATATTCGCAAATCAATTAACTATAAAGAGTTAATGACTAAGTATAAATCTTTTTGTATAAATTTAGGAATAAACTTGGTCCTAATGGTGCAATCATGACAGCGCTTAATCTTTACTCGCTTCAATTAAACTAATTAATTGAAAAAATTGAAAAATCTGATTCCAATATATAAATTATTGACACTCCAGGCTAAATTGAAGTATTCACTTGGTCAGCATCTGGAAATTTAATTTCTTAAACATTTTCTATGTCTATGCCTACTGTGTTATTTTATGTGATAGATATTGCTAGATGTTAAAATCCTAATAGTTTTATGAGCAATTTACTGTTTAGTTGTAGTATCTTCTACAAATTTAAATTACCTATGGTTATAGTCTTTAATAAATGTGATGTGGCTGATTCTAAAAAGCCTTTAGAATGGCTTAGAGATTATGATTCATTTACTCAGGCTTTAAAAAATAAAGACAACTATTTATCCACTTTGAGTAAATAAATGGTATTGACTTTGGAAGAGTTTTATAATAACTTTACAGTTCTAGAGGTTTCATCATTAACTGGATAAGGATTTGAAAATATCAATGAAATAATTACAAACGCCAAAAAAGAATATATGAATGTTACTCTTGTTGATATATAATAGAAAATGAATAATTAGAAATAAAAGAACTATGATAAACAAATCAATTAGATAACATAAAAAATTTAGAATTTGTGAATTATATATATTCATTTCTTACGATAAACTCTTTCCTTTTCTTTTAAATCCAAAATTAGGATATCTTATTCTTTTATTTTCTAATCCATCTAATATCTTAATCTCTTATCTATTTCTTGTTCTAAAAATAATTATATAATTTACATTTTTTTAAATCCATTATAATCATATTAGCTTACTCTAAATCTTTCTTTAATAAGCTAATATCGCTTTTCAAATTTTCCAATTCATTACATTAATCTCTCAAACTCATTTTATCATTTTCATATTTATTTATTTCATTAAAATGCTTTGCTTCTAATTCCCTAATTTATTCCCTTTACTTTTTTTCCAATTCTTCTATTTAATCTTCATATTGTTCTTAAATTGTTATTCTAATTGATTCTTTATATTCATTTAATTGAGATTTTAATGCTATTATTTCTGCTTCCTATTAAATAATTCTTCTTTAAGCCTTGTCAAATTCTTCAATTTATTCTCTTGCAATTTAAAATGAATTTTTCATTTCTAAAAATGTTGAATTTAAATCTGCTACACTTTTACCATCTTCTATTGTTGATTAATTTAAGAAACTTCCATGAAATGAAGATTATAATCTACAATCTTATTCTGTTCTTAATTCTAAAATTTATTGATCTTTTTATTCTATTTCTTCTTGCAATTTTTTTATCTTTTCTTATAATTATTATTTATCAGCTTTTTATTTTTCTAATGATTTTGTTAATTATTATATTTTTTCATTTTCAGCATTTAATTTTAGATTTTCAGCCTATTTTTCATGTAGTTCATCTCTAATTTATTCGTAAGCTTATTTCCACTTAATCTTTTCTTCTTCAAGTAACTTAATTTTTCTAGTATCAACATTCATTTATAAATTAGGCTACTCTTATTATTATTGCAATTATTTTATTTCATCAATTTTTACTTATAATAATATCTTTGACTCATTCAATTATTTTTATAAATCAGTAATTTTATTATTCAATAATTATACTGTATTTTTTTAAAAATCATGTGTGCTTTCTTTCTCCTTTTCTTTTTAATCCTCTACAACAATTATAACATCATCTTCTTCTTTTTATTAATTTAACTACCTATTTACAACTTTAGCAATTTCCTCTTTTGAAAATTATGCTTTATCATCTTTTATTATATCTTTTATATTTTCAGCCTTAACTTTTTATTCACTCTAAGTTTCTTATTGAATTTAACAATTTCCAAACCATGGATGCTCTCTCATTTTTTGAATATTAAATCTTTTCTATGGATCTTTTTATAATAATCCTTAAACTAAACTTTTAGCTAAGGAAGGAAAATCATTTGGAAAATTAATTTTCACTTTTAAGATGTTATCTTCAAGTATTTTTTATGATTCTTTTTGATCCTTAATTTAAGAGGAGGGAGCAAAAGGTGCTTTTCCTGTTAAAAGTTCGTATATTAGAACTCCCAAACTCCAATGATCAATTTTTTCATCATGACCACATTCTAAAATCATTTCTGGTGCCAAATAATCTAATGTTCCACAATAAGTTGTTCTTTAATGATTATTAATATTAGACCAACCAAAATCAGCTATTTTAATATGACCATTAGCATCTAATAATATATTTTCTGGTTTTATATCTCTATGAATAATTGGAGGATTTCTTGTATGTAAATATTCTATTGCTGACATTGCTTCTTACATAAATTATTTCACGGTTTTTTCATCAAAACGGCCTACTCGATTCAACTTTTACCATAATTACCCTCCAGTTGCACATTCTAAAATCAGATATATATAATCTTCTTCTTCATAATGATTGTATAATTTTACAATATTAGGATGTTCTAATCCGTACATAATTTTAACCTCATTTATAATCTGTTAAGTCATTTTCTATTATTTTATTTGCTTTTTTGCTATCTATTTTAATGCAAATATCATTTTTGTTTTTTTATGCCTAACTTTAAATACTTTTCCAAATGCTCCTTATCCTAATCCTTAAATTACTTCAAAATCTTATGTGCAGGCTTCTCTTTCCATTCTTCCTTATACAGTAGGTGAGAAAAAAAGGATTCTCTCTTTAACTTGATTAATCACCAAACCAGTGGACATTTGTTCAACAAAAAAAATATTTATGATATAAAATATTTATAATATAAAATGTTTATTTAAGAAGCAGATTTCAATTTTAGTTAATGAGTGATTCATCATTAATCATTAAATTTAACTTTATATAATTTTAAATATCTATTTAAAACATATAAATAACTTCATTTACATTCATACCAATTATTTCCAATTTTAGCATCAACTTCTAAAGGTAATTCTAATTAAATTTCAAAAGGATTTTCCATCAGTTCTTTAACAATCTTTAAAGCTGCTTAAGCATTTTCTTCAGGACCTTCCTATCATATATTTAAATAAATTAGATACTAAAATTAATTCATCGTGAACTTATAAAAGTAATTTATAACCTAAATCCTTCAATGTCTAATTTTTATATATTTTAACCATTGCTGCTATAACAATATCAGCTGCTCCTCCTTAAATAGGAGTATTTATTGCAGCTCTTAATCCATGATTAATATATGACCTAGTTTACTATTCAAAATATTTTTCCAAATATCTATATCGTCCTAAAAGAGTTTGTGTGAAAAATTAGCTTTTTGCAATCATTCTAACATTATATTACCATTATTCCTAAAATATATAAATTTAATACCACTTCTTTTCTCTAAGCAAACCATGCATCTATTGTTTTTTGAGCTTCCTTAATATCACATTGCCAATCTTTTGCAAATCCTGTTGCTGTTTTACCATATGCAATTGAAAAATTCAACACTTTTGCTTTTCTTCTTTCAGCAGCATATTTATCCTTTACTAATGGAGCTGGTGCTTTTCCTTTTGATTTATCCCATTCAATTAATAATTCTCCTTTTTCAATTTCTTATTAGATACTAGGAAACATAGTCTTAAATGGTTATTATTAATATAATTACAATAACAGTTCTAGAGTGAAAATCTCCACCCTTCAAAAATGCATCAATCATAGCTTTACATTTCGTCATATGTGCTAATACTCTCAATTCTAATTAACCATAATCAGCGACTATTAATTTACATCCTTATTTTGCAACAAAAGATTTTCTTATTTTATATCTATCTTTCTCTAATGCAGGCTAATTCAATAAATTTGGATTTCTTGAACTTAATCTACCAGTTTCTGTATTAATATTAATACTAGTATGAACTCGACCACTAGTATCTGTTAGTTCAATTAATGGAATAATAAAAGTGTGTAATAAAACTTCTATGCTTTTTAGTTCTAACAAATCATTAATTGCAACACATGCATCAATCCCCTTTTAAGGATCTCCTTTACTTGCAAAGTGTTAATAAATTAATCCGTATTATTACTTTTCTACATCACCAGCTAATTATTTTAAAGCATTATAATCTGCTTATGGCATTCCACTAGGAGTGTAACTTAAAGGGGCTATTCCTAAACCTTTAATATACATTTCAGTATATTTTAAAGGAGATCTCTAATTTTCCTTAACAATTTGATGTATATTATCAATTTAAAATCCCTTTATGTCTGGTAATTCTTCAACTTCTTTGCGAATTGATTTTTTTCTTCCATCTGAAAGATATTCATCTTCCTCTTCTTCTTCTTTTATTGTCTAACTGGTTTTCTTAACTTACTACTTTTTACAAGGAGCAAAGAATAATTATTATAATTATTAGGTACTACTACAATTAAATTATGAGACATCTCCTTCTTAAGTAGTTTATACCCATTTAATGAAATTTTATTCGTATTGTTTCATATCTTATTCAGCTTAGATTTTAATATTATTCACATGATCAAGGTCTACTTACATTCCTTCTCTTTCTAATTCTGTCAATATTTCACCTAAAGAATTCCAATATTTACTATAGATATCACCTAAGCAATTTATACCAAACTCATTTTTTTTAGTATTATAATCAGAATCTGTTGGTTTTGAATTATAAAAGATTTTTGTTTTATTCAACAAATATTTTAAAGTAAGACATAAAAAATATGTTATTTCTGAATCTAAAGTAGAATATTCAATCCATTAATTTATATATTAAGGTAAGCAATGCATTTATAAAATCTTTGGATATACTTTTAATTTGCTAACTTAGCCATTTTTTAATTCTTTATTTTATCCAAAAATTTACTTCATACTTGTCTTCAGATTTATATCAAGTAAATGATCCTTAAATATTTAGAGACTTTATTTCTCTTCTTCAGTTAGATTTGGTTTTTATAATAAACATTCTAATCTTTTAGTTTTTACTAATTTTATTTCTTCTTCGTAAGCTATTGATAACTTTGCTAAACTATATTCTTGTGGTTATTTTGATGGATCCAATAATCTAGCCATATGCATAGTATCTCCAAAAAATCCTTAAACATTTATACCATGATTGCCAAATATGTGTCTATCAAAACCATAATTATGCCATATTTTTAATATCTTTTCATCCTCAAAATAATCCTTAAACAACATTATTATATCACTATTTTAAGCAAAATTATCAATGAATAATCTTGGGCCATTTCCAAAATTTACTTCAGGACCGGCAAATGCACTTGCACAAATCAATTTACCTCTATTTATTGGATTCTCACTTTTGACATCTATGTCTATTGTTTCTGTATCCCAAGCATGAGGTTATTTTTTGTATTTTTTTAATATTTCTATAACTCTTTTAGCTTCATTTACATTTCTTACAATTGTCACTCCAGGTTATTCCTTTACATCTTCTATTGTTTTATTATAATATGAGCGATATAAATCATACTCTGGAGTTTTTGAACTACCTCCTATTCTACTTTTTATTGATGTAATGTTATTGATTTAAGCAAATTTACAAAATCTAAATTTTATCATAAAATTATAATCACATTTAAATATAATACAATTATTTATAATGATTTCATATTTCTTAAAATAGCATCAACCTTAAAAATTACTTATAAAATCAAATATATATTCAATCTCTTCGATTTGATACTTACGTCAATCTGATGATGATAATTACGATTAATAATGAATCATATTTTGTATAATGAGTATTAATAATTATGAAATAACAGAGTATTGATTATGAATAGTGCCTCTTTTAGTGTAAAACAAAGAAAAAAATATTAATAGGAAAAGAAAATAGATTTCTATATGTTTTTGAAGATCGCTTAGTTATTAATAAAAACTAAAGCAAAGGTAATCCTGCAAGAGTAATTATGTTTGAAAATTTAATAAGAGTAAAATGGAACTATTCAATAAATTAAAAAACATTCAAAACATTCTTAAAAAGCATTACTTTAATCACTAATAAGGAATAAATGAATTATTATGCAGATTTTGAGATGTTAATAGCTTTAAAAAAGATATTATCAAAATTTGTTCAATAGAGTTGTTTTGAGGATGAATATGAAACTTAGCAGGTTTTGGGAGAAGGTAATTATGCAGTAGTTTTTTAATTGAGAAACATTTTTACAAATTTGAAATTTGCTGGAAAATGTATAGAGAAAAAAAAGCTAGATAAAATTGATAAAGGATTAAAGGCAGTAATGAATGAGATAGAAATAATGAGGATTTTAAGTCCGCATGCATAAATTGTTAATTTACATGAGGTTTATGATGGTGATAATAGTATAAATTTAATTTTGGACTTATGCGAGGGGTAGAATTTATAAACAGAATTAACAAAACGTAATTAAATGATTGAAGATTCAGATGTTAAAATTGTAAATATTTAAAAATTATTTTTGAGATAATGTATCACCTTCTTTTAGCAGTTGATTATATTCATAGTAAAGGTATAATGCATAGAGATTTAAAACCAGAAAATATATTATTTTAAAAGCCATAAGATTTTAAAACATTGAAAATAGGAGATTTTGGACTTGCAGCTATCTAAAATGATATTCCTTATCTTTATCCAAAATGTGGAACTCCAGGATATGTTGCTCCAGAAGGTAAAATACATTTTTAATTAGAGTAAAGTTGCCAATTTAGTTGAAAAAGATAAAGAATATAGTAGAATTTGTGATATCTTTAGTTGTGGAGCTATATTCCATTTACTTTTATTAGGAGAAGGTGTTTTTCCTGGTAAAGGACATTTAGAATTACTCAAACTTAACAAGGAATGTAATATTAATCCAGAAGATGTTAAATATAATGTATTAAATATTGAATAGAAAGATTTTATGTAAAATCTATTATTATTAAAAGGTTTTAAATGCTAAAAACTAATCCTTAACATCGTCCTAGTGCAAAGGAATTACTAAATCATCCTTATTTCACTAATTAGAAATTAAACGCTGTTGCTATGTTTTCAATGAATATGATAAAATATGAAGATGATACTACTTTAGTGATGTAGGATTAAATACATTCTCCAACAAAACTTGGCCTGGAGAAAAGATTTTCTTTTTTATAAATGAGTAATGAAAGAAATACTCCTTTGAAAATAATATGATGATTATTTGTATTCTACTGTTCATCCGAGAATCATTTCTTTTTATATTATTATTTTTTATAAAGAAATTTTTATAAGTGGCCTTTTTTGTGGATAATGGAATCTTTAGCTCAATAAATTAAGTCATTGTAATAAAAGAATTAAGAACTTTCTTAGTTAGAAAATAGGCTTGTTTAATTAAAATAATAGTTAAAATTGCAAGAATCGAATAATCATATAATTTAGTAGAAAGTTAGCAAAATTTTGGAAACTAAAGAAAGTACTTTTATTGATCAAAGAGATGTAGTTTATTTATGATAATAATTTTAGTTTTTGAAATAACTTGAATAATCTTAAAACTTAAAAGATGCTAATCATAATCGTATTCGTTTGATTAGGTAAACATAAGTTGATGAGACCATGAGATAAAAATAATAATTATCCGAAGATAAACTAATTAGAACCCTTACTTAAAAAAAAAACTCCCAGCTCTTATAATATCAACTTTAAAAACTAAAAGATCAGGAGTTATATAATAAACAATTATAATTTAGCAAGGTAAGTTTCTTATTCAAGTATACTTTAGATTTCAGAATGGGAATTTTAATTGAAATAAGATCTTGAATACAAGAAAAACGAAAAAATTGAAAAAATTAGGGCTGAATAATAATAATATAAAGCTCAATTGTCATAAAAATTAGAATAACAATTAAAATATTAATAAAAGCTATAAGATGAAGAATAATAATTATTAAGGTAACTTTTTTTTGCCTAAAATATAGAAAATTACATAGCTCATAATAAATTGCTTAAAATCTAAAATAAGATTTAAGTTAGGCATAAAACCTAAGCATTAAGTTATATCATAACTCATTGACAACTATCTCTACTTCAATGAAATCTTATAGTGTACCAAAATTAACAAAGAAATAATTAGAAAGTCCTTATGCTTAAATTCCTGCTATTCTTAAAATTAAAATAAATAAGTAATCTTAAATATAATAGTAGAGAGAAAATCTATAGAGATAGTGAAAATTTCTTCCCTTATATTGAAAAACCAAATTATTAGGATTAATAAAAATAAATGGAAAGATTGTATTAATCAAAAAACTTAATTTCTATTGGTTAATAATAAGACTTTTAAATACAAAAAACAACAGGACTATAATCATTTAAACAAACTAATTCATCTCATTTTGATTCATAAAATAATAATCATATTAGTAGCAGAACAAAATTTTTGAGTTCCACTTAAACAGCTAAATAGAAAGATTTTGGTACTACAAAAATGACAGATACAAACAGAAGTACCAATCAAAAAAATAATAATCAATAAAAAATAAATGTTTAAGAAAAAAAGGAGTAGAAATAGACTGACCCTTTAAAAGATTCTAAAAAATTAAATAATGAAAATCAATTAGAAAAATAAGAAAATTTGAATCAAGAAAAAGATTAAAAAAAAGAGGAGGAAAATAAATAGAATATGTAAAAAGAATCCTAAGAATATGAAGATAATTACCAAGAAGAAAATTATGAAGATGAATTTAATTAAGATTAGGAAGAAGAATAATTTGAAAATGAAAATCTGTCTGATCACAAAGATGATCAATAAGATTAAGAAATTTAAGAATAATGATGATACAAATTCAAAATATATTTAATATATTTATATAAAAATATTTAACTTAATTATTTCCACTTATACAAATATTTGAATCATATAAACAATGTACATATTCTTGCAATAATGGTTTAAATTGGTTAATAAATAAGCATAGCTCCTAATTAATATTCTTTAGCATTAATATCTATGCTGTCTTTATTTAATTACCAATTTATTTCAAGTAACACCACAACAGAATAAGCAACAAAAATAACTAATATTCCTATGATATAAGCAATGACTAGAGCTTCAAATTGTATTATAGAAAATTAAATCTAACTTATGAAAATGATAATTGGGCAAATCATCATAAAAAGGAATGCTTTTTTATTTTCAATATTTTCTTTTTTAATAAACGAATATGCTTCTAAACCAATTCCAATTCCGGTAAACATACTAAGTGCAATGCATAATAGATATTCACTTAATTAAGTTTGGTTCATTTCAAAATTATCATTAGTTACTTTATCTTGCAATACCATAAAACTTGTTATGCCTATTAGGATTAAGGAATAGAAAATAATTTCTATTAAAACTAAAATCCATTTAATTATCTAGATATCAATTTAGATATACATAATTAATTCTTCGATGGAATATCAATATTAAAGGGTATAAAATTAGAGAAAAAGATAAGCTCACCCAAAATAAAGCAGAAAATGAGTAATCTTCGTTATTGTATTTAATTAAAAAGTGTGAAAAACATTAAGGTTCATATCCACATCCATACATTAAAGAAATTTGTAAAATTACGATTATAATTGAATAAGTTGCAGATATTTATTTAAAATATTTTAACTTAATTTCGTAACTAGCAATACTGAGATCATTTTAGGAATTTTAATTTTTTATAATTGATTTAGTCAAACTCACTAACAACTAAAATTATACACCTAACAATATACAACATAACACTTAAATTTCATCAAAAGTAAACTAAAATATTAAATTATTTATATAAATTTACTTCTTTTTACAATTTTTATTTTTATGTAATTTACAGCATAAATGAGCTTAACCATGTTATTATCATTGTAACAAAAGTCTAGAATAATGGGGAATATATTCCAATAAATATATTTAATATTAATTCAATCGTAATAGGGGTTATTAAAACAATTAACCAACATTCTAAATTCAATTATATATTTATACCTTCTCCTTAAAAGTGTGTATTGGTCATGTTTGCATAAAAATTGAGTAATAAAATTACACCACCTATTTGCAGATATATTCTCCATAATTAATCTCCAAAATTGACACCAAGGAGTGTCCAAAGAAATAAAAATGCAAAACTTCCACAACACAAGTAAATTACACTTACTACAATATTAGAAATTTTTTTATTTTAATTTTCTGCCGCTGAAGCACTATATTCAAAATAAAAATGACATAGTTGACATATTATCACAAGACACCAGAAAATCCATTATTTCTCATATTAATATATATATTTTCCTAATAAAGATACTCCACAAAAACACTTAGAAATAAAAATTTATATTTACAATGTATTCTAAAAGCAGAAGAGTGTAGGTTTTTCGAATAAATGTATTCCTATAATCATCTAAACTTATTCTATCATATTAAATACTTAAATACCCATTTTTATCAAGGAAGCTTTTTTGCATAGATAATATTTCCATATAACTCATATTATATAAATTATTATTTAAAAAAAAATAAAAAAATTTATAATGTGATTTTTGATGGTTAACTCATTTCAAATCATTCTTTATCATTTCAACGACATCAGATCTACAATTTGGACATTTTCGGCTATTCATTAGCCATGATTTACAACAATTTTCATGAAATATATGTTTACATGGAAGCTTTAAAATTGATTCATCTATAAATTTTTAAGAATATTAAACCTTTATGAAACTCATGGCAGCATACGCTGCAATTTTTATGAGATTTACCCATTTTCATTCGTTTAATTTATTCCATATAGTTTTTTGGAACACCATTACTCTTATGATATACTTTATTCATATTATTTTCCCATATTTATTGTTGTAATTACTATTTTATTACATGTTAATCTTACTTGTATTTCTTATTCATATCCTCGAGCAACTAAAATAAATATAAGTTTTACTTTGTTCCCAAATCCTAATTTATGAATATTCACTATCTCCATTTTATTAGTTCTCTTATATTTAACAATTTTTACTCCCACATTCTTCACCAATTAATACACTCATTTATTTTTTGATTTTAAATCTGTCTCTAAAATGTTGTTCGATAATTATTTAAATTAATCTTTCTTAAATATTATAACATAAAATATATAGAAAATTTTATTCTGAACTTATTTGCTTTTTGATCTACCCTCTAATAAGAAAATTTGTAAAATATTTTTTGAATCAATTTTTTGAATATGAGGAACAAGAAAATTCTCGAAAAATAAAAACTATAAACTATTTACACCTGCAAAATTAATTAACAAAAAAATTACATTTATAATAATTTATTAAAATGATTGATAATTTTAATATTTATTGTTATTAAATATTAAATAAAGTCTTGACAACTAAAATATTTACAGATATATTATTTCAAACAATTGATTCAAATGGGGCATTCATATTTTTACTATAATTTCTTAAATAAACATTGCATTTCCAGTCATCTTAGGTCTAGGCCTAAATTTCCAGTAAGAACAATGCTCCATTTCTTGCGTAAATAGCAGGTTGTAAACCATCAGTATATTTAATATTTTGATGTTTATACAAATATTAGATAGCCTCTGTGATAAATCCAGCATGACTTATAGCCATAATATTAGTAGAACTATTTGATTTCTGCAAAGAACTGAATTGTTAAGCTGTTTAAACATAAGATCTGATGGCAGAAGATGAGCAATGTGATTCATAAATAGGTGAAGTGAGAATCATTTAATTTTATAAATCAAGTTATAACTATTTGTGCTAAATAATTAATTACATTTTAAAAGGGTTGTTAATATAATTATTGTGTGATCAATTAATTAAAGAAACTTTTTGCTCTAAGTTATATTTATTCTGATGTTTCTGCATTGCTTTATTTGTCTACAATTGGTTAAGTTTAAAGAGGATAGACTTCTGTATAAGATTTAAGAAGATCATTTCCAGGATCCCTTTCTCTTAAAATTGGTGTATAGATCACCTAATTTGGTTAATGCTTAAGTTCCTTTTCTATGATCTCATAGGATTCTATACACCTAAAATTTCGATATTATTTACCTTTTAAAATCACTCGAATAGACATAATCAAATCTAATTGCTGATAATTTTTTGCCAATATTTTTAGATTGTACCTTACCAAGTCCACTAAGCCCATATTCATTCATTCCAGATACAATTTTTAAGCTTTAATACAAAGATTAACCATGTCTTATTAAGAATATTCGAATCATAATATGTTCCCAATAAATATTATATTTATTTTAATATTTATTTATACGGTAATATTATTCATCACTTCTTTGGTGGAGGAGGAGGTCCTCTTCTTTATGGAGCTGGAGGAGGAGGAACTGCTTTACTTTATTAAATTTATTGTTTATTATCTAAAACAGGATTTTGTTAGGTTCTTTGATTAAATAATTATTACTAATTTTGTTATTATTATTGTTATTATTATTATTATTCTTATTGCCATTATTGTTATTAAGTAATTTATGGTTAATGCTATTACTATTAAAATGGCTATTGAGGTAGAGGAGGTTAAAATTATTGTTATTAATTTGATTAAAATTATTATTATTAGGGAGGAGGAGGGGGAGGAGCCATATGATGTTTTGGAGGAGGAGGAGGTTAAACTAAAGGCTATTATTATTCTTATCTAAATGGTTCATTTGGAAATGGCGGTCCTTATAAATTTTAAGCTTCTTATTTTTTAGTTTGATTTGGAGGAGGTGCAGGTTTTACTGGAGGATTTGGTTTTTAAACAGGTCGTTTGGATGGTGGAGGTACTCTATATAATCAATTATTATTTATACTGTTCATCTGCTGTCTTAGCAACATTAGGACCAAATGGATTATTTATGGCTGCTGAATTTGTATTTTAATTTTAATTTTATTAAATCTACTATCTAACATTATGATCATCCTAATGTTAATTTACAGCAGGTCTTGTTGGTCTTGATACTGGTTAATTCGGTGCATGAACTGGTTAAGCAGATAATTATTTAACTATTCCCATTTTTATTTATTCATATTTAAATGGAAAGGTTGGTTTATCCATGATTTTCTGAATGATATTTCTCTCTTTATGATTTCCTCTATATAATAAATCTAATAATTCTAATGCTCTTTAACAATCTGGAGAAGAAAAATTTAGCGAATATGCAGCTGATAAGTATTGATTATGTTAAATTGCATAATTTGCAAATTATAAGATTAAACTATCAAAATAACGAGCAAATAATTCACTTTCTTATAATGAATATGCTTCAATTACAATTAAAAGTTTAATTGCTTCTGATAATTCTTTTAATGATTTATTATGATTAATTAAAATTTTTATACATTTTTCGCCATTCATTGCTAATATATAACATTATAGTGCATTAAACTCATCTTTTCTTTCAGCAATGAATCTATCGCCCAGTTATTCCATAATTTTATGGAATTATCCTGTATTATCACTATTTAAAACCATAGCAGCACATTCCTTCCATGTATTTAATTCATAATTTTTAGCAATTTCATCAGGATGTTTAAGAACGATATGTTTTAATACATTTTTTAAGAAATAATCTGTTTATGTTGTTAAAAATGTGTTCATAGTTTATTCAAATATTTCTTTACTTTAAGAATATGCCAATAATAGTGCTTCTGCAGATCTACCACATTTTAAAGCACAATCAATAGCTCCTTCATAATTACCAACAATTAAATTATCTTTAATAATCTTTTCAACTCCAACATTCCAATTAGTATTTTTTGATACTTATTCAGATTAAAAGATTTCTACATCTTAATTTCTACTTGAATTAGTTTGTTATTATTTATTAATTGATTGATTAGTTAAATCATTAAAGAATGAATCTGCATCTTAATCAGTAATAGTTGCAAAATCAATAGCTGGTCTTTAAGGAGCTTAATTCTTTTTTTTGTTTTGATCATCCTTTTTTGAATGTCTTTTTCCAGTATAATTTTCAGTTTATTAAGTAATTTCTTTAACTGAGAATCCTAAGGTTGCTAAATATTCTTTCTTATCTTCTTTTTATACTGAATTTAGTAATTTCCAATACTAAGTATATTATTAATTATGTTATTTATCGATTTCAAATTGAATTCTATTTTAATCAGCATCGATAGAACAAAAAGCATTAAAATTTTCAAAAATATTATCAGGATCTGATTAATTAATAGAATAAACTTAAATAGCTGAATTATTTTCTTTAAAAGCTGCCATTTAATCAAAAGCATAAACTGATCCAACAGGAGGTTTTAACCATTTAGGAGCATATCCTTCTTTACCACATGGTAAACTTCTTATACTTGTTTGACCATCTACACTTGATATTGAATATACTGAAGTTACTCTTTTACTCCATTTTAAATCAGCTATTTCAAAGTTTAATTATTCTTAACTTACAACTGATTAAGTTTTATAATTCCAACATACTACTTATCCATCTCGACCACCTGTTAATAATAAAGAATGATCATTTGGACACCATGATAAACTATTAATGCCTGATTTATGTATTTAACTAAACACTATTGAAGGTCCCTATGGATTTCTTAAATCCCAAATTTATAATTCTGGTGCTCTTTCATCATCATATGCAACTGCTATTTATGTTGGAATTTCAGGGTTCCATAATAAACTCACTTTCTTATTACTAATTGCACTGCTATCCTAAAAACTAAATATTGGTTTATTATTTCTTAAATCCCAAACTCCAGTTAAACCATTCTAAGATGCTGATGCCAAGATGTGTAATATTTTCTTATTCCAAGAAACGGCTGTTATTGAACTATCTTCATGTAAATTCGGATTTCCGGGACCAAATACTTATGGGTTTTATATATCTTTAATGATATCAGCAATCTAAATTATTAATTAATTTATTTATTACTAAGACATCTTGACCTCCTAATGCAATTAAATTTGGCTTAAATTCATTAAATTCTATAGCATTCACTGGTCCTTCATACAATTAATCAATAATAGAAACACAACTTTCTTCTTCCTAATTAATAGCAGAATTTGCATCATAAAGTGCCACGTAACCTTCTGATGTTCCTGCAGCTACCAAACCCATTGGATATGTTTCTTAAGCAAAGTTTTCCCAAGCCAAACATGTTACTGCATCTTTACATGAAATTGTGCCAATAATAGATGTTGACGTGTTCTTCTATCCGAGGTTAAATGAATTGAATTATAATTAAGCACTTTAGTTATACATTATTAATTTTACCCCAATTAATCATTTACTGCTGATACCAATAGATTCGATTATGATTTTAAATTTGACCAGACTGACATGTTTCCTTAAGTTGTCTTCAATAACATTTTTAATAATTTATTTATTAATTTTTTTTAATAATACCGAATATTAAATTATTTAAACCAAAAAGATTAAATGAATGATCATATATTTTAAACATTTGAACTCATTTACTATTCAACACTTATTATAAAATGATTCCAGCTGATACACTTACATTTAAAGAGTCTACTAAAGTCTCTGGAAAAGTATGTCTATTTGTCATTATATTAACAATAGTGTCACATTACTTAAATAATTCTGTTCTAATTCCTGAACTTTCAGATCCAAAAATTATTATTTTTTTTGCCTTTTTTTAGTCTTTCTAGAATTCTTCTATTGGAATCTCAAAAATTATTATTAAATAATACACTATTGCTTTCAAAACCACTTCCAATTACTTAAAATTCATGTTTTCTTTGCTTAACAAAATTACACAAATTATCAGTTTCAAATATGCTCATCATTTCAAGAGCACCTGCACTTGTTTTACTAACTGTTGGTGATAAAGGACATTATCCTTTTTTTTCAACAATGACAGTGTTAATTCCTAAAAAAAAGCAAACTCTTAAAATTGCTCCAAAATTTTAGGGATCTTAAACAGAATCTAAGAGAACCAAATTTGATTCATCATGTAATTGATTGCAATAATTTAATTTTGAACATTTTAAAATAACATTTTAATGGTGGTCATTGCTACAATATTTTTCCAATTTATTCTAAACTATTTAGATTTTATAAATACTTTAGGAATCATTTAAACATCTAATTTTAATTATTAAGCTCTATTAAGGATATTTGATATTCTTGGATTAATGTAATCATCTCTAATTATATGATGGCTTTATACTTTATTATGTTTAATTTACATAAAGTTAAGTAAACTATCTTTTGTTGGCATATAATGCAGACATAACTGGATTAATGCCATATAAATAATCATATGATTTCTGCGATGAAAATCTTAATCCTTACTTGAAAATGTACATATAATAATTTAAAATTTATTTATGCCTTTGTATGAATTAATAGCAATTTGCAGATGTTCTTAGGCATAAGGTACAGCTGCAGCCATAAGATAATTGTCAGTCTTGATTTTCTAAGGAGGTAATTTATTATAATGAAAAGAAAAGGAGGAAATATTAGAAATGTGAGAATATTGGGAGATAGAATCTTAAGTAAATAAATAATAGGGAATGATGGATTTAGACATTTGATAGGAAGATATGTTTCAGTTTTATATGATGGTCATCCAAGCAAATTTAGATCTGTTTTAAAGGGAGGAGAAAAGTCTTTTGAAATATTTAGATTATAACACTTTCGAGTGAAAGACTTCATACCTGAAGCAGTTCGATTTACAAAGCCATTTGAAGAAGAAGCTCCTTTTGTGAAAAATAGCAGTATCCAAACTTATGATTATGGAAGAGCATTGCAAATATTAAGAGAAGAAAAATAAAAGTTATCATGAGTATTATAAAAATATTGCATTAAAGCATTAAATGCTATTCTCATTATTGTTACTACCATTACTTTCTTAGTGCTTGAACACTAAAGTTTAATGTATAAGAGATCCATTGACTAATGCTTGCGATCATCTAACTATTTATTTTAATCCAACAAATCCAATTAGAATCAATTCAATAATCAAATTAGAATTACCCTTCACAATTTAAGGAGAAGAGGAATTAATACTTTCATCATTTGATGGTATGAATTCATAAAATATATAGAGTCAACTATTGGCTTATTAACATTAAAAGGGAACACTCATTTTACAGTGTCTTAAATATTACCTGAAAATATTTGGTATAAATGCAATCTTACATTATCGACAGTCTTATCTAAAAAATAAAAAGGAATTGGATAATTTTAAATGAATATTGTAGCATCATAACACAGCAATACTTTAATTTTAGAATAAGGTCCTTAAATACCATTAACATATTCAGTAATTAATTAAATTTACAGTCCACCATCTATCACACCTATAGCCACAGTAATTCCATCCTCTTCAGGAACTTTATGTTTAATTTCAGATTGGGGATTTACTCTAAATAAGAATTTAGTTAGACAATAATAATCAATGACATTTACTCTCAGTTATGATGCTACAAATGATAGACTTGATGTGATTCTAACTATTGATTCCTTAAATAGTGCATTCATTATTCATAGAGAATGTTATTTCTAAGGACCTGATGTAGCAAAGTTTTCTACTGATTGCACACTAAAACAAACTGGATCAAAACTAACATTTCAATTAAGAAGTCAAGATCCAGTTCTATTAAAATAATAAACTGAATATTTACTAGAGTTTTTCATTTCTCATCAAGGAGATACAATTACAGCTAGCACATTCACAGCAGAAATCTATCATGATACTTAATTAATTGATTAATGTTAATCATCTAAAACATTTCTAATTGATGAAACTGATTTACCTGTGACATTAAATTAAATAACTGAGGTTGAACTATATTTAGATACACCTAATATTGGAGTACCAACATTCATGGGTATTTCTTTTAGACCAAAAAATATTCAAATTGATACTTTAATTAGAATTGAATTAGGATTCTTATCTTATGAATCATTAAATTGTAAAGTCTTTTAACTAGAAATTGATTAGTTTATGCCTTCATTGTCATTTTCACATTACTCATATGATTCTTAAAATCTCTATTTTTATTCAAACAAGAATAAACCAGATCAAGTTTAATATAAATACAGTATTAATTGTACTGGAATTACCATTTTATAGACAACTAATAAAATTTTCAGAGTTTTATATGAGGATTTGTTCCATACAATAATATAATATTATTAAACTAGACAGCCTCCTAAATTACCAACTGATTCTTCAACTTAATAATCTGCCTCTTTAAAAATTGTCAAAAGCATTGAATTACTGTCTAAAAAATTTAATAATCCTTTAGTTAGTAGTATTATTACTTTCAAAATAGTGCCTACATATGGAATCTATAGAGTTCTTATAGAATTCCCATCATCTTATACGACAAATATTATTAAATGTGTATTGAATGAGACCTCTTCAGTATTTTGCACTTAAGATTCTCTTAATCCAAATAGAATAATAATTTATTTGACAAAGTATCATGATAGTGAATTAATTAAAGATTAATTTAATATCACAGTTTATGGGATGATTAACCCATTTGAATTGAATTACAATAGTAAAATTTGTATAATGTTGGATGATGATAATATTCTAACCCCATTATAATTTGGTAATGAGAACAACTTAAATGGTATTACTTAATACGAGTATATTGAAGATTATATAAATCCATCAATTTATAAACAACTACCAACTAGCGATTTTAGATTTTCTCAATCTTTTGCTAGAATGTATGATGTTTTTTTAATTGGTAATATTACTTTCTCTATGGAAAGTATTAATGAAAGAAATAAATTGTATTTGAGAATATCAGATTAATATACAATTTATGATTTAAATTGTTAATTAATAAAACTTGGAGATTTACAATTAAATAATTATATAAGTTCCTGTAATTCAAATTAAAATTACATAGAAATGGAATTAATTACAGATACTGGTAATAATCGGTTTAGTCAGCAATATTATTTAAATATATCGAAATTCAGAACTTAAGATTTGATTTCCATAGAATAATATGGAGTATTGCAACCTATGATTTAATTATTCTTAGCTAGAGACGATAGTATAATATCTTTAGAGAATTAAGTTAATGGATCGTTTGTTATGAAAACCTTTAAAATTCCATTTTATTGGTATAGCAGGGATGCAGAGGGTGAATATAAAAGATTAGAAGTACAATAAGGATTCGAAGATATAAAAACTTATAAAATATATCTTAACCACTTTGGACTAGAAAGATTATATTTAGGACTTGGCGATGTTACAGATAGATTCAATTGTACGATTAACTTATAATTACCTACGATTCCTGAAGATATCATCGTGTTTGGTTAAAGTAGTAAATATGCTAAGTAATCATTCAGTAGTTAAACTATAACATAACCTAAATATATAGTAAAGTCTATGACAGACGATGTTTTTTATGAAACAATAAAAGATACTGAATTGATGATTAATCCTGGTGATAGTGGTTTCATCTTCAATATTGCTTCAAAATCATTAGTTAATATCAAAATTAGAGTTCAAATCAATTACACCATATCCTTTCCTAGTCGTAATTCTTGGAATCCAATATATTATTACTATCCTTATACTGAAATTCCAGTACTATATTTAGAGATTGTTCATAAAGGTTGTGAATTAATTCCATAAAAGTCATCATATGATTTACCTGTAAATGGCTATACACATCCTATTATAATTGATGCATCTGAATGTATACCTATAGTTGATACTTAACTAAATGTCACTATTTAAGATAATAATAAGCTTTAATTAGTTCCTATTTAGATGAGCATTTCCAGATATAGATTTGAATTGATTAAAAGAACTACTAGAAGGCCTCCTGAATTCAGCTACATTTTTTAAATCAAAGCAACAAATTTAACTGTTGCTGGCATAATTACATAAGTTCTAATTAACAATATTGCCATTTCCATTTCAGCTATTTTAGAATATAAGGATAAACCAACTGCTAATCCATTAAAGGGTTTGTATAGTTAAACTTCAAACAGTATTTCCTTATCAATGACTTGTTCTTAGCCTTCTGAAATTTTACTCGTTATTGGAATTGATGAAATAACTGATGAATCATTTGAAAAAATAAAATCTAATTCTATTTCCAATGAACTCACTGAATAATATGATTTATTTAAATTATAACCTGAAAATGCTACTCTCTAACAAGATAGCAATTACATTTCCAAATATGATATATTACCTATAAGTTTAATTATGGATATCTATAATAATAGAATTGGTAATCAGATTACTTATAATGATTATGACATTGCAAATTAAGTTAATTAATCTCTTATCAAGGATAGTTCTTATAAGACATTAATGAATTCAATCAGAAGAATGATGATTAATAGATTAAGTTTACTTGAAAAAACAAGCCAACTTTATTTATAACGAATCCAATCTAAATTTAACTTTTTTGATAGTACTATATCCTTCACACTTTCAAATTTGAAATTTAATACTAAATATTCTTTTGGCTATTACTGTAAAAATTTAAATGGAAATACATCAGATATTTCAACTAATTTTCAATATATCTCTAATGAAACTTCTATAAACAATAAGACTGTCAGTAAAATGCTATAATTAAAATTTAAATCTAAAATTTCATCTCTACAAGAAAATAATATCCTTTGTGCTTTAGCATAATATTTATCAATAAACTATTATTAAGTTCTTTCTAGAGAATGTAAATAATGTAGATTTGCGAATATTCATTATGATAAAATAAATTACACACAATATTTATAATTAGTATAGGATTTTATTCCTTATGAAAACAGATCTTCAACTGATAAATAAAAATATATAGATAACTTATACACTATGAAAATTTATTTCAATAATTATCCATCTTCTAATGGCTAAAATTTTGATATCACTCAAAAAATTGACAAATCTTTAAATTTAACTAATGAAACCATTTTAAACATAATTAATGTTACAGATGATTTCTAACTAATTTTCAATTATGAAACTTTCACTTATTAAGAATTGAAACCAATTAAAAAATCAAATGTTGAATTAGCTACTTAATTAGTATTATTAAATTATGAATTCAAAACAATTAGTATGGATATTACAATAAAGGCTAATTAAGATGTACTTGGAATAGTTGGATTACATGTAAAAATAAAAATAAACTTTAGAAAATTGAGCCAATATTTGAAAATGTAATAAAACATCCTACTGGAATCATGCTTAGAAGAGGTATTTTAAGTACTTTCAACAATATATCTGAGGGAGTCTAATTTGCAGAATTAGCAAAGAATGAAAATACAACTTTAACATTTAAGAACTTAATTGATGGTTAAAAGTAAAATGTAAATAATATATAGATATATCATTTATTACTCATCTACTGATTTGCAAAATGATTGCTTAACTAAATAATATTAAGAAACAGTCGTTTAATAAATAACATTTATTAGTTAATTATAAAGCTAAGAATTTAAAATGCATATAAATATAGCCCTAATGCTATTTGTTATTTTCTGCATTATATGATGAATAAGTATATATAATTCAATATTATATTTTAATTTTATTCTTTTGCTATTAATCCATATCATTATCTTTTTTAACTTAATTTATTATTTAATTTTTCTGTCTTATTTTCTCTTTTTTCTATAATCTCAACAATATTACTTCTTCCAAAATTAATTTATTCTTTCTCAAGGTCACATCATCAAATCCATATTTCTTATCAAATTAATTTTTTTAATTACTTTTTTAAATGTTTGTTTTTCTTCATTCAGTTATTCTGCAAATTCTAGAGTTGGAATAAAGAAAGGAGCACTAGTATCATAATCTTGATTATTTGCACTTCCTGGAACTTAAGTTTAAATGCTAATTTTGTTATTTAAATTACTTTTAAGAAATATATTAGCACATTGTCTATTCGACTATAGGATGATTCTTTTCATTTTTTACTATTTTAAACTTAGTTTTATGCATTCGATTTTTCTTTTTTGGAGGCTCCTTTGAAATTAATCTTAAATTATCTAATAAATCTGTATTTTATTGAGCTTTCAGTTATTTATTATTTGCTAATCTCTTTCTATTTTATTAAAAGAATATACAATATATCCTCTTAGTAATTAACATTCCATTCTTTAAAAATTTAATTATCATTCTTGAGTTTAGATTATTCTTATTTTTCATCAAATTACTTTATGGATTTTGAAGGTATATCTGGTAATTCTGGTAATTATTATCTATATTATATTTTTGGTAAAGAATAAGCCTAGTATGCTTGATTAATATCGAAAATTAATTATGCCTTTTGAGGAACAATAAACTATAATTAAGAAGCTGCTTTAGTCTGAACTTATTAATTCATATAAATTATATTAACAATAAAATTAAAATTCTAAGCAAAATTCATTTATTTTTATTAAAATAATCATGCCCTTGATTTAAAAAGTTAGGTATTCTTGTATGCTGATTAAGTAAATTCCATAAAAAATAAAATGACTATGTATTATTCTAATCCAATTGAAATATATTTGTGATTTATTTTTATACTTTGCATGATTAATAAAATCCACACAGCCTATCCATAAAACTAACTATAAAATTTGCAGTATTTTTCAACTAATTATTTATTCATTAAATAAAAAAGGGGAAGCATGGCTAAAAACATAAAAATTGATGAAAATAATACATTTCAAATAAGTTATAATACAGAGAGCTTAGTAAATTTATTTTAAGTCTACTTATATAAATGCTATAAAATGTGAATAACCTAATCTAAATATTGTGTGCATTACCCTAAGACTATACTAAAAGATTAAAGTAAGCATCCAATATAATTCAATTGAAATATACTTATACTTTTTTTAATATTTTTGTTTGTAGAATATGGCATTTTGTCATTGGTTTCTCTTTGCATATTAATATTAATTGTTATTGTAAAATGTTAAATGATTCATATATAAAATCAATCCAATAATTTAGATCTTACATCCTAATCAACTTTAGATCGAATAACATGTAAAAATAAATAGATTAGACCCAAAATGAAGAGGATTGTACTAAAAAGGCTACTCGATTCAAATAAAATATTTTAACATTAAGTGCTTAAACTATGAAGAATATATAAAATATATTACAAAAGATTGTATATTCCTCTTCCTAAGTAAGATCTCAAAAATGCAAAATAGATGCTTATTTCCTCTTTATAAAATTCCGCTAGTATCATTAAAATTCC